GTTTGAATGTGTATTGGAGTTGCGTACGTCAAGATAGAAGAAACCGAGTTCGCGACATGCTTGCCAACACCTGTTTTGTTCTTCTTCGTCGCGGTCGAGTAACTTTTGAAGCGAAATGCGGAGAAGTGGCGCGGTGGGTACGTTGTCGGGGAAGACTGGAAGATGGGGAAAGTGATCGCGTGGTGGGGATGGGGAGTGGTCTGAGTGAGGCATGGCGAGTAGGTGTCAGATGTTTCATGTGGTGAACTACATCGCGGAGGAACGCAAGATACGTGCGTTGTTCGCATGTCGTGTGGGCCGGGTATAACTGCTGGTGATAAGGTAGACAAGTGGAGGAGCGCGTGGAGAACGCGGGGTAGCCTCGGATAGCTAGGGCGATAGACAACACTAGGGAATGACGATAGAGTTCAGAAGGAGCAATCACAACAACAAAAGACAGAGACATCACGATGCATGAGACGATTGTTAAAGGAGACGCAATTCATTAACTATCCACAGATGTAGCTCCGATATTTCCACCACCCGAACAAGCAGACATGAACACCGACCCAAACACCGAGAGCGATAGACACCGATCGATGCCTGAGAGCGCCATGCTACCCGTCAAGTGACGATGCAAAAGTTATGAACACAAGTATAAGATGAGGGGCCATGAGCAAGCAAACGCCTAAGGGATGATTGAAGATCGAACGTTTGAATGAGACCTGAGTGATGTTAGATGATGCGCGACGATAGACATTGAAGGTGATGATGACTTACCATTGACGAGATGTTTCTACAACCTGGATCCGTGGACAACCTTGTAGTCGACAGCCATCTCCATACCATCGTCATCGATGACGAGGATACGGACGCTGCCACGGCCGTTGTCGAAGGACTCGGTCAGGCGGGAGATGAGACCGCTCTGGTCAAGGACGGGAAGACCCTGCTTGACATCGCCAGACTCGGTCATGGCAACAACGCGACCGTCCTCACGGATGTCAAGAACACGGTACTGCTTGAAGACAGGTCCGAGCATGTTCTGGACAACGACGGAAGGAGCCGGGTTGGAGATGAAGGAGGACTCCTCATGGAGCTGCTTGGTGAACAGGTCAACACCGAGGTAACGGTGCTGGCCAGTCTGGGAGGAGGTGGTGATGCGGATGACCTGGCAAGGGCGGCCCTGGAGGATCAGGAGATCGCCAATGCGGATGTGGTGGCAGGGGATGGTGATAGTCTTGGTGGAAGCCATCTTGCGGACTGTACGGACAGAAGTCGGGACAGGTGCGATAGAAGCGGAGACGGGTGCGGGTGCGTGGGTGATGGAGTGGGAGTGGGCAGGTGCAGCAGCAGAGACTGTGGACCTGGGAGGGGCTGGGGCTGGGGAGCTGTGGACGCGAACGACCCTTTCAACTGGAGCTCCGGATTGGACGGGGCGGGCAGGGGCAACAGAAGGAGTAGCTGAAGTGTACTTCTCCTTAACGATTACCTCTTCACGGTCGTCGTCGTACTTGGCACCGGGGTAGGAGTGCTCGTGAGAGTGGTGGTGACGGTGAGGATGGATGGGGTGTTGGATACGGTCGGCGACCTTGTGAGCGGCGTGAGAGATTCCTTGACGAAGCGAGTGGTATTGGCCCTCGTTGTCGTAATATCCCATATCACGCTTGCGGTGCTTGGGGGGTGCGGCAGTGGAACGAGCAGATGATTCTACTCGGACCTCAGATGGCTGGTGGGAGGCAACAGACTCGACGTGCTTGCTGCTGGGGAAGGTGTCGTGCTTGGTGGTGTAAGTCTCCTTCGAGTAGCTTGCACCGGCGACGATGGGACGGGTACGTTCGCGAATCTGACGTTCAGTAACGTCGATTTGGGATGGAGCGTAGTCGGTGGCAGGGCCGTGGACTGTATTGAAGTGTCTATCGTAGGTCCTGTCCTGAACCTCGACGTGGGAGTGGGATGATGTAGGAGGTTGGGGGTGAGGTTGGTAGCTGAAGGAAGAAAGGAAGGTCAGCTTTGGGTTGGGCAAGGAAGAGCTTAGAGGAGGTGAGGGAAAAGTGGGGCCTGCATGTCGCTAGGACAACAACAGATGAAAGGGGTTAGCGGCTAGCGCGTGGCTGGGTGCCGCTAAAGTCAGGGGGTTGGTCTGTTGTGCTGATCCGTGCGAAGATGCGCTGGCAAAACAATGGATCGGACTTACCGGTCGTGGGATCGCTCAAACTCTACGCGGTCAGTACGCTGAACGTGCTGAGAATGAGGCTGGGGCTGGGGCTGTCCGGGCTGTCTGTAGCGAGTCTGCTCGTGGATATGTAGCTCCTCACGGTGCTGGGGAGGCTGCTGAGCGTGAAACTGCTGGGGCTGGGGAGCCTGCTGAAACTGCTGCTGCTGCTGGGGAGGAGGCTGGGGACGACGGAGGCGCTCTTCTTCGTAGATGCGGACCTCTTCCTTGACGTGGGTGTCGTGGTGTTGCTGCTCAAACTGCTGCTGCTGTTGGGGAGCCGGAGGAGGAGGGAGGACGGTAGCGGAGAAGGATTCGTGGACCTCTTCGTGACCTTCCCGTCCGTGAGAAGCCTGTTGCTCGAACTGTGCTTCCTGTTCTTCTACCTGGACACTGGTAGATTCCTTAACTTCCGCGTTCCGATACGCAGACGGGAAGACACTGAAGGGGATCGGAACCTGGGTGGATTAGCATAATTGCTTATACACTCGCGGTGAGAGAGCATACTCGTGCTTCAAAATCCAGTTTGCCGGAGTCTGGTCGTTCGTTCCTGAAAACCCTTCGAACCGTTCGAAAACAATTCGAAAGGAATCAAGAAGAACTTCTTGGCTCCTTTGAGGGTCTCACGTGGAGATATTTGGAGATATAGGATCTACTGAAGAGTCGCCAGCTTTATGGTGTTGACGTGCAGCAGCTTGAAGATGCGCAATTGGATGCAGTAGCGGGGTGTAGGTGGAGGAGTGATGGAGTCAGGCTGGCCGAGGAGGGGGATCAAGTAGATTGGCGGTCAGTCGGATCACTGTTGTGTCGGCGTATCGATGGTCGCAGGGTTGTGGAGGCTGGGAAGCTTTGGCAGAGCTGTTCAAGCTGGGACTAGCGTTATTGACACGGAGCACTAGCGCGTATCAGCTTCCCCTTTTTCCCAGCCATGGACCGATTCAACCCCAGAGAACCCATCACATCCTGGCGCTTCTCGCACCGAGGTAATTTCGGACGCGCAACTGATCTTAGCACGGCTGTTGACCGGGCAATGGCCAGCAATTGGTGTCGCAATTCAGAGTCGAGTCGCATTGGAGCTCCACAGAGCTGCCGGGAGCTTCCCCGACCTGGCTGCAGCTCCACGACCATGGCCATTGGCAGTGGGCCGATCCCAATGTTGCGTGGTATGCTTCAATTGGGGCCGGACGGCCTGCTCATGCATGATGCGCCAGCTCCTCCGTGAAGAGAGGCATTTTCAGCTCAGCCTATCCATGTCGCGCGCGGCCAGCTGTTGATAGCTCCAAGCCTCTCCCCAGCCACCGCGTTTTCGTCGCGTCATAATTGGTCAGAGCTCCATATTGCTGCAGCCCGAAAAGCATGGCTGCAGCTGCGTGGCCCGACGATCACGGATCCGCCGGACTATCACGTGCGAGACGGTTCATCGATCGCGGTCCAGGTGCTGCGAATTGACGCGGACTGGGTGAGCTGTCCGGTCGCTTGTGGACTCGACGCATGTGAACCGTGGTTCTCAACGGCTGTCCGCATCATCGTCCCCACGACGTGCGCCCGCGTCTGACATGCAGCACCTGCCGCAGCGACGGTTTCGTGATTGTGGAGAGTTTAGTGATTGGATTGGTGTGCTACAAGGACTGTGTGGTCTGTCAATGTCACGTAGCTGTTGTACGGTGTTCGCACTGAGAATGTCAGCAGTCTATACCCAGGAGCGAATGGTCGCTATAGTTCGGACAGTCTGCTATGCATGCCTCCAAATAGCACCTGCAAGATCTGACTCTTTTTTTTTTCTGCAATGCGCGTTTCTCTATACTTTTCCCTGTGTATACGTTGTCATACATAGCAACACTAACGACTTGTAACAAGGATGTAGAACCGACGTGGGTTTGGCTTCGGGAAGTCGATGGCCCGACGAAGCATTTCCGATAATTTCTGCGATACCGGATGACAGACCCGATTCCAATGACGATGGAATTTGCGACGTGCTTCGATGTAGGAGTTGCATGTTTATGCGGAAATCGACGTTGGCTGGCCGCGACTTCCAGTTGTCCAGTAGCTGTTGATCGCGCTGTTGTGTTGCATCTCGGCTATCAGTATAGGTAGGAGCGACTACACAACCTTACACTCTACACCCTTCTCATCTCTGCTATATCGTTGTTTACATGATCAGTCTCATGCTTGGACTATAGTCGTGGACGCCTGTAGACTTCCCATTCCAGCGCGCATTAGGTCATGTCTTCATGAGGCTCTATCCAGTCGCCATTTCCCCTTCTAGATCAGCAAGCATCTGAAGCGGCGAGCGAGCTTGTGTTGTACTCGGCAAATGGCAATGCTCACCAGACTGAATGTTGCTATTACGATGAATTCCCCGCTTCTTTGCAATACTTCCTCTTCTTCATGTCGGGTTAACTAGGAAGGCGACTGTATTGACAGCCATACAGTACAGGAAGTACTACAGCTTCTAGTCAATCGACGCCTACTTCTACCTTGGTATTGTTAGGCTTTGTGCTTTCCGTCGTGCCATTCTATCGTCTATCGAAGAGCGAGAGAACAGAATAATTCCGCTGTTAGAGTTATTGTTAGAAAGAGCTCTCAACTATCATTCCTCTTTCTATACCAGACAGTCCGCAAGAACAAACACCACATCGAGGTAGCTACGATGGATGTTACAGGCTAGATTGGGAGACATCTATCTCTATGATATGCTTTCACCTCCACGACAACATGCATTGCTTACCCTGATAGCATTCAACACCCCATTGTCTACTAGTCTTCTATTCGACCATTCACAAGCTGTTGAGTACATCCCAGCTCCAGCATGTTCTTCCCATCCGCGGCGCTTCTTGCGTCGATGATACTCGCAATATCAGCAACAGCCCGATTTGTCATGTACGCAGACGAATGGCACCCAACGCGTCCAGACAACCCACGAGATCGAGCTGGCATCGACCATGTCATCCTCGCCTTTGCCCCAGCCAACGCAACAGCTACGTTCCAGCCGAAAGTCCCCGTACACACCATCCGCACCGAATTCCCCAACGCAAAGGTCATGATTGCTGTCGGCGGCTGGGGCGATACGGCTGGTTTCTGTCAAGCCACGAAGTCAGACGCATCGATGCTCGCGTTTGCCGCTGATATTGCCACTATGCTTGCCAGGACTGGAGCGGATGGAGTCGGTGAGTACACCATCTACCTAAATTAGTTATTCGTCGATGCTGACAACAGAAGACATCGATTGGGAATATCCTGGCGGCAACGGGGCGGACTACAAACAAGTGACGAACGGGGATCAGGCTTACCAGATCGCCGCGTTTCCCAAATTACTAGCTGCCGTCCGTGCCGCTATTGGGAAGAAGCTGCTTTCGATCGCTGTCCCAGGAAAGGAAGGCCAGTCATCATACACATGTTTGAGGTAAGTCAACTGACGTGTAGTAGTCGATATGCTTGGATACACTCGAACAACCGGACCCCAGATCTGGTCATCCGTCGATTTCATCAACGTAAGTAACATTTACCCCTCTGACTCCAACTATCAGATATTGTACTGACTCCACTAGGTGATGAGCTACGACCTAATGAACCGTAGAGACACAGTAACCAAACATTACAGCTCCGTCACCGACGCCGAAAACAGCATAAAGGACTACCTCGCCATGGGCGCACCCCCCTCCAAGCTCAACCTCGGGTTCGCATACTACGCAAAATACTTCACCACTCAAGGAAACTGCAGTGCCAGCCCACTCAACTGCCCCATCGCCCTCGCGGAGGATGCCCGGGGCAAAGACACACTCACCTCTGGCGCCTGGACCTTTGAGAGATCTCGCATGCGTCCCGTCGATGCCTCCTCTCTGACCGTATCCCGAGACGGCACCTGCGGTCCAGAAAAGGGAACCAAGTGTGAGATAGGCTGTTGTTCTCAACACGGCCACTGCGGTACTTCGCCTGAACACTGCAACGGCGCCTGTCAACACGCGTTTGGATCTGGATGTACGGACGCCGATGTAGCAGCTTCATGGCAGCTCGCAGCCAAACACGGTGTTACTGACGAGGTCGCTGGCGGACAATACTACTTCGATGCCACAAACCGCCTCTTCTGGACATGGGATACGCCCGAACTCATCACGAGGAAATTCGACAACATCGTCCGCAAGTACAAGCTCGGTGGCGTCATGGCGTGGAGTCTAGGTGAAGACAGCGCGGACTGGAGTCATATTCGACAGATGGCGAAGGAAGTTGCCAAAGTTGGACTCGGTTTAGCGACTGCCAGCGACTCCAACATGCCAGTCGATGGCTACATGTACGACGAGATCACTCATTATTGCTGTCAAAACATTTCCCATCCAGCGAATACCGTGACCTACCCACCAGCATTCATAGTTCCAATCTCTTGGCATACTATTAAGGTAGATTGCGGGGATGGAAAAGGGTTGGTTTACTGTCCATGTAACACCCCCGACTGTTACTGGGGGCCACTTCATCCGGACCACTACGATGGCAATGACTCAATTCAGCCCATGTTGAACGACGACGACCTTGTTGAGATGCAAGACACCTCAGACGCCCTCCAAGCGATGCCAACGGAGCCCAGCCCAACCGCACTCAAGATCCCGTCGCCAGGTTACCGTGTCTTTTTGGAATGCATGGGTGACGATGGCTGGCTGATAAGCTGTCCGGAATGGGTCACCTCGAAGGTTCTTCATGGAACCGCAACTGATACCAACCCCGCCGCACTCGAGACCCCGTCGCCGACTGACGGTGTCTTTATAGAATGCTTGGGTGAGCATGGTGGCCTAACTCGCTGTCCACAATACTACACGGACGCCGTCCTATCCAAACATTCCGAACTCCACATACCTGCACTCCAGACTCCGTGGCCAACACCCTTGCCGACTAACGGTACTTTTATCGAATGCATGGGCGAGAACGGTGGCTTGACTTCGTGTGGGGTATCGGCCACGCAGGACTTTCTATCGAATCTGAGAGACTACAACGCACTGCATACTCCCACGCCGACTCCCTCGCCAACTGACGGTGTTTCTATCAAATGCGTGGATGATTATGGTGGCATGATGCGGTGTCCACAATCGTTCACGGACAACTTCCTATACAGACATTCTTCACTCGAAGCAGCCGGACTCGAGACTCCGTGGCCAATGCATCAAAACCCTACTGCTGTTATGACCGCGGCCGCTATCGAGACTGGATTCACTACGCATATCGGTATACCCCAGGCGCAGGAGAGTAGGCTTCCTGGTGGATCCTACGGTATGCGTAGGCGTGAGAGGGCACAGAAAGCGTGAGAAGACTGTTTCGCAGGAGTTTTTCTGGACGCACAGCAATTTTTCGTTTTGTTTTTATTGTTGCTTGAGTTTGCAAGATGGAATGCTTTGGGCAATCGATGGCGCGTTGTTTCTCTGTCTGTAAGGTAGCGTGCGATTAATGAATTACTACTCTTTGCTACCTCGACACAAATGCCGTGGTTTCCCTGATACTAATACAATCATCCTATATGCTACGTTATCCAAGCAATGCCCTAGAGATGTTCGGAGCATTTCCGACCCCTTCTCAAGTTCCATCAGGGGGAGCCTATGCCTTGACGGTACTCCTCTTCATACCCTTCCTTGCGTTCTTCTCCCGCTCCTTTTCAAGGAACTTGCGCTGCTCGTCGGCGCTGAGACGACCCAGCTTGGCGTCTCTCATCTCCTTCTTTGCCTTGTCAAGCGAAAGCTTCCTCTCCTCGGCCTTCTCCTCATCATCGGCCTTCTTGATCTTAGCGATCTGCTCGTCACGGGTCTGCTTGATGCGGCGGAGGGCTTCGGGGCGGAAGTGGCCATGGGAGGCAAGCTGGTCAGTAAGACGGAGGAAGTATTGGAAGATGGGCATGGTGGTGGAGTAGTCCGAGGCGAATTTCAGGGAGAGGCTGAGGCGCTTCTTAGGCTTGGTTTCGTCGAGACTGGAAGATATTAGTCTGGTTCAGAGAAAGAGAGGTCTGGATGGTGGTTGTCTTACGTCCTGGGCGCGTTGATGGGCTGGTCGCTGACGATGATGGCCTCGAAGCTGTCTCCGGCGTCGTTGACGGCCTTGATGAGCTCGGGTGTGAGCAGCATATCAGTAACCTCAGCGCTCTCGCTCATGACAGTGACCCAGACAGGCAACTTGGCGTGGTCGCGCGTGCTGGTCAGAGACAAGTCGTAGCGCTCGTCGCGCATGCGCTTCATGATATCCTTGTGTACAATGGCGAAGACGAAGCCGTCAAAGGAGCTGTTGGTGACCTTCTTCGCGTCGGCCTGACCGTACGAAGGAGCGAACTTGGTCTCCCGGCCATCGAAAACGTAAGCCGTAGCCTCGAGACGCTCGCTGGGTGCAGGGAAACTTTCGAAGAACAAGGGGAGCACGCTCTCTCCCAGCCACATGAAGGGGTTGGCGCGCTTGTAGAAGCTCAGCCTGAAGTCGACGAAGGCAACGTTCTGGCGTCCAGTCGCGTAGGTCTGGTACTCGTCGGCCTTCTTCTCCTTGAGCATGCTGTCCACATCTGCAACCGCTCCCTCTCCGTCTGGGCGTGTGTAGCCGACTTGGGCGAACTCTTGGGTCAGGACAGGGGCGTGGGCCTTCATCCATGCCTTGGCCTTGCTGCGGTTGCGCTTGGTGCCCCAGAGGTGGACCGCGATGAGAGCAACGAGGAATGGCAGGATGTACATCTCCAGCTTGAAGTCGTCCATGGTGGTGCGCTCCCACACCCGGTACCATGCTGTATAGGGCCGGTTGTCGCCGAGGCCTGTAGGAGCGGCTTGCGCTGCACCGGCACCGGTCGTGAAGGACGAGATGGCAGCGGGTGTGGGCTCAGGAGCACCTGCGTAGTCGGCGAAGTCTGGTTGGTGTCAGCGCAAGCCATTGGGTTTGCATATTGATAGCCTCTACGATCTCCGATGGTATCCTCACGATAACCTCGCGACTCCATCTCTGTCAAGAATTCGAGCGTCGCAAAGGGGTCTCGTGTGGTCCCGCATCCCAGGCTGGTGGCCTCGCGACTGCGCATGCAATGTAGTGTACGTACCATCATCACCAACAACTGGAGCCTGGACAGGCTTTTGGCCACCGAAGAGACCCTTGACGAAGTCTGCCATTGCGTCGATGCGTCACAATGAAGGAGCGTACGTGGAGATTTGGCGGCGCGGGAGGTGGTTTGGAGGATCTCGGCTCGGTTCCACGTTCCAGGCACTGACCTCATTTTACAGCGACTAGCACGCATGTGGAGGGGCATCTGGGCAAGCTACCCCAGAGCTCCTCGTGGTTCTGCGCTTGAGCCTGCTATAGCTTATTGTATAATTTTGGTCGATAATTTTGATATTAGACACTTGGTGGTATGCCAGATTGCTCATCTGAAGTGGTTGTGTCCGTCATCGACACTGGTAAGAACGGCACTCTGCCATGACTATGGAAGCACGGTGTAAAGCCCATTGCATTCTGAGTAACTAAATGGACTGCTGCCTTACACGCATCCGCAAGGTCGACCCAAAGACGTATCCTCACATGTCAGCCTAGTTATCGTTGGAAGTGACAGCCATTCGTGTTTTGTCAGCCACGTAATAGCTGGGTGGCAGCATCACTTCAGAATAAGTGAACACAGCGCAAACAGACAATGAAGATTGTTCTATGCGGTCTGACAAAGGAGATGTTGTAATGGGTAAAGGCTTGTCGATTGATTGTATATTGATGCAGAAGACTCATACTGGTCCCACCCATCTGGATATCATGCTCGAAGTGCGGAGTCTAGTTCTTGCCGAACCAGGTCTTGTGTCCCTGAATATAGTTAGTAATGATGTTGCACTCAATTCAACCCAATGCAAACTTACAAGGACGAGACGGCCCATCATGTACATGCTGGCGCCGAGGCTGCTGAACATGATGACCTTGAAGCCGGGAACCAGGTACTTTCCGCGGGCCTAAGAAGCAATCTGTCAGCATTTATCCCTGTGTTTTCTTACTTCCACACGCCATGTGTCCAGCACCGCATGTGCATCATCTCTAACCACATCATGCCCCAATCAACCCTCCTCTTGTATATACAGTACGCACCTTCTCCCAGGTCCTCAGTCCGTCGTGCTTCTGGAACTCGCGTTGCCAGTAAGGCACCTTGTTCTCGCGCATAACCCAGCTGCCGACTGTCAGTATCCAGCTCTGTGCGGAAAGGCGGAGGAGCGCTGGAGGCCGTCGCGGTGCTCCCTCAGGCCCGCGGCCAGGCCCAGAGCTCGAAGATGGACGTACCCAGGCATTTTGAAGAGTGTAGAGGAGTATTGCGCGGCGTGCGGGGGCAATTGGTGGTTTCGTGGATTGGTCGATTTGGTGATGTCGCGAGGTCGAATGATCCGCCGGCGAAAGCAACTCGGTCGCCAAGGCCCTTGGCCGCTTTGGGCGCAACAACTTTCCGCATCTCCAGTTCACGCACGGCGTTTGCGACGCCAATGGACTGATTTCGCCCTTCGCCCCTGTCTTGTTGATGCCACCGGCTCTGGACAGGCTCCTCGCCAGCCCGTCAGCCCTGCGACTCCTGCGCTCCATCGTCAATGCCCCTGAACTCCCCGCAGCCTGTTCCGCGGCGACAAAATGCTGCCCGCCAGTAGCACGCCGCCGCAACTACTCGACCAAGCCGAAACCTCCACCCAAGCTGAAATGGAGGCGATTGAAGGATGCAAGCGAAGACGCGGCAGTCCGAGACCACGTGCTCAAGGCGCTCCAGCGTGACGAGTCCAGTGATACCCTCGCACCGACCGTAGATATCTTCGAAAACGACACCGTACGTGTGGCCCAAAGGGAAGACGATCCTGCACAACTCGCCGCTATCCTTGCAAGCGAAGAGAGACTGCACGGGAAAAAGGGTGTCCGCAATGTCTGGCAGAACTTCCGCCATCGAGGGTACCGCCTACCCACTGAAGACACACCCGATGCCGCATTTCTATGGGGAACTTTTGTGAAGAACCACCTGATCACGGACAAGGCGATAGCGCACGCTGAGGAGCTGTTTCACGAAACAGGCAAGACATACCCTGGTCTGTACTATCTGGTCATGAGCCACTGGCTTCCGAGGAGAACAGCGCCCGCGTTGAGGTATCACTACGCGATTCAAAGGAGCCTGAAGCCTCAGCGGCTTCCCCTACGGCAGCTGGCACATCAGGGACGATCGACTTACAAGCACGGCGCATACGAAGCATTGATGGAGATATACGAGCACAGCAATGAGCGGGACCTCTACGACGAGGTGGTGCCAGCCCTCATTGAGAAGGATGACATAACTGCGGCACGCCGATGGCATGCACTTTGCACTCTTCGCAACGATATGCCGTCCGAGTCTGTCGCGTCACATCCTCTTGTCCAGCTGTTTACCGTTGAGGATTCAGCTCGTGAGGTCTACTTTGACACGAAAGGGTCGACGAAGAAGTGGAGGCGGGGTGCAGCAAAATACAATGAGAACCTTCTGCGCCGCTTGGAAGGCCCCGATACCGCGCCCGTCCGATTCGAAGACTCGTTCGTCGCCCGCATGTTCGCAACGCGTACCTTTCCACCGGCTTCGATCATACAAGGTCTCTCTATGGTGGGCATCAACGAGATTGGGCCTCAAGCTGTGCTCACCATGGCCCTGCAAACACAACCGGTAGAGGAGCTACCTATGAGGTTCGAAGAGCTCAGGCAAGCAGGCATTGCCCTGCAGGGCTGCGTCTTCTCTTTGGCACTGGAGACGTTCGCAATGGAGCAGAAGTGGCAACTGGTGCGCAGTATGCTGCAAAGCGATCAGCATCCGGACGTCTTTGGCGACGTGGAAATGCAACGTAAGCTGCTCGAGCACTATCTTGACAACGACGATTATGCGCAGGTCCAGCGCACACTTGCCATTCTAACGCTCTTCCACAATGACTCTAGTCAAGAGTCTTGGAACCTGCTCTTGCAAGTCTACATTAAACGCTCTGGACAGAAGCATGTCGTGGAAGTGCTCCAAGACATGCGTGCTCGCGGCATCATGGTGTCGCCTGAATCAATCATGGCCATTCGCAGCCTATTGCGTCGTCGGCAACGAGGACACAAACCTGTCAGTGACCGATTCGATGACTTGCGTTTCGTCGCGCGTGTATTCGTCATGATCCTAGAGAACGGTCTAGCCCCCATCTCTCCACTCCAATGGCGCGAGATCATACGCAGATTTGGCATGGTTGGAAGGTTTAGGGAGCTTAGAAGACTTTTACTCTGGCTTCTTTGCTGGTATGCACCGAGAAGCAGCTACCAGTTCAGCACGTTGCCAAAATCACCATTTCTCGAACCGGCAACAGCGAAACTGCGTGCTGCATACCCTGAACGATTCCACTACTTCCACTTCCCAACGACGGTCACACAGCGCGAAAATCTGTTGCATCCCGTTCGACAGCTGTTCGCTCCCTCCCTTCAGCAAAGTCTCATCATCTGGGGCTTCAAAGCTGGACTCCTGCCAAATGCACCTCTTGAACAGTCCATGCTGGGCCCCACGCTGGCCAAGAAGCATTATCGTCGTCGGTTGCTGCAGCGCCGGATCCTACGCCGATTAGAGTGGAGCACAGGTCTACGAATTGTTGTACATCTACGAGATCTCGGCGTCTTTGTTCACTACCATACCGTGCTCAAGGCCTTACAGTCGCAGTTCATAAATATGTTCGGCCATGGTCGCTCCAAAAAGAGAGAAAACAGAGTGGTGGAGAGGTCCAACACGCTCCCGTATGCGCGATACGTTCACGAGGTCAACAAGATATGGGGCAGTCCGCTACTGCGGGAGCCTCAACTCTTCGGCAAGGGCATGGTGCACGATCACATGTGGCACCCACGTATGAGACGGAACATCAAGCGCAGAGCTTCCATCAGCCTTGGTGAGATTCTGGGCCCGAACTGGAGGGATCGCGACCAGGAAAGCCACACGGCTGTTAAGCAAGACGAGAATGCGGCCATAGCTCAGCTGCAGAAGCACTTCAAGAAGCAGGCCAAAGCCATCGAACCCGGTTCTGAGCCGCAGCCTCCTTCCACCATAGCCGTCCCGCGCGTCCAAATCGATAACGGTAAGAAGTGATGAAGCAGCCCATACACGGACGACTAAAGATAACGACCCGAAGGCCTGGCCTCGCTATGATACGTAAAGAATATACACCATAACCTTTTTCGCTTACTCCAATCCCGGATCTGGATGAGTGCTTTTGGTGATTCGCTATTTCTTGCTTACACACTTTCTCAGCCGTTCAAGGAGTGAAAATCCAGACCTCCGAAGAGACAGGTGCGGGCGCGTGGAGCCGTCGCTTGGTTGAAAGCGGGAAGTCGCGCTAGTGTGCGCCTCATGAAGGCTTGTCCTGCAGGACCTCATCTTCACACTTTCGCACCTCCAATCTCGACATACAATCGCTTGCGCACACCACTGACTGAACAGATACCCATGGATTACTCACCGCTACTTTCCATGCAAGCTCATGGCTATATCTGACCACGCGAAAGATGCTGCTCGTGCGGCCAGAAGCAGGCCTTCCATCCCGCTTTCTCAGCCTTCCCAGCTTCTCAGCTCTCAAGCTCATGAAGTGGCTGATTCTCGCCTGTTTTTCGTTCGCTAATTTGATCGGCACCCTGTGTCATGTCATGACCATTCGCCAGGCCCAAGGCCGAGGACAAAGTCGGCCCCCGACATGTCATCAAGCGCTCTGCTGGCGCGTGGTCTTTTCTCAAACCTGTCTTCTGCTTCAACTCTCCATGTGAGATCCTGGAAACATGCGCCAAGGCTGAAAACTCTGTTATGCAATGTAACATTGTTCTCCTGCAGCCAGGCCGGACGATCAGCCACAAGGCTATGCGGGCTTTCGCGAACCTTTGCTACTTGTCCTTGTACTGCAGGATGAGTACCTACGCGCCGTGCGCGAACACCCTGCACCCGCATGCTTCCACCGAACAGCATCGCCTACCCAATCATATCTTGGACGGCAATTGCGTTGCTACCTTGCATTGCTCAATTCTACCGGAATGGTGTTTGACGCTTTCGGAGACATGCGCTCGCTTCAGTCACCCTGTAGAAGGGTGATCTCTGATGTGCTGAGCGTCTGACCTAGGAGTCTGATTCGGCCTCGCGGGTATAAAGGCCTTCAGGTTGCTCTAGCCAGCCGAAACGCTTGCTCTAAGTTAAGTACCTATCATCGGACATACTTTGAATTGGATCGCAATGAGTTCCACCGATAACGACTTGTCAGAGCAACAAAAGGCCAGGACGGCCAAGAGGCGGGGCAAGGATAGCAATGATGTCCATGCAACAGGCAACTCATCGTGGAAACATCGTCGTGAATACAGCACTTTCAGCTATCAACCTTTGCCACGCAGCCAGGGGACCATTCGGATCCTTGAGCTGTTCTCTAGCGAAACTTCGGCCGCTGGAGTTCTTTGTGCATTGATCACACCAGGCGAGAACGAGAGACACCAATATCCTTATGAGGCCTTGTCATGGTGCTGGGGCACAGCAGGCAAGTCTGCTGAGATCAGGATTCAACGCAATCGCAAGACATACATCAAGAAAGTGAGCCCGAACCTCGTGGCTGCGATGAAGGCACTACGCTACCCGGACCGTAGCCGCTATCTATGGATTGATATGGTTTGCATCGATCAAGATGAGTAGGTTGATCAATGATACCCAACCCATACTCGCTGACTTCTGTAGCCTGGGTGAGAAGAATCATCAAGTCGAGATGATGAACATAATTTACGGCAACGCTTCGCGAGTTTGCATTTGGCTTGGGGACGCGACAGAGTCCAGTCGCATGGCACTCCGCTTCATCAAGAAAGAAGTCTCACATTTACGAAGCTTCGACACCCTCTGTGACAGTCAGGACGCGAGCAAGAAATGGGTTGCGTTACTAGATCTCATGCAAAGACCATGGTTTTCACGACGGTGGGTTGTTCAAGAATTGGCCTTGGCAAAGAACCCCATCATCTACTGCGGCAGAGATAGGATCTCTTGGAAGAAATTCGCTGTTGCCGTGGAACTCTTCGTGGAGGTGGAAACAGCGACGCATCGCCTGTCCGAGGTTATGAAGAAAGATCGACAGTACCAGTATATTCCCAGTGTTTTCGACTATGTCTCTGCCCTCGGCGCCAGCCTGCTTGTTGATGCGACAGAGCGCCTGTTTCGCGACTACAAGAAATCCGAAGTAGCGCAACCCATGCCAGACCCTCAGGCACAGATTGAGTCAATCACCGATTCGGATAGCGAAGCCTCTTTGTACACAAGCGACAGCGAAGACGACTACACATCTGCACCCCTTCATTCAAGCCATGCAGAGGACGTATCTGGTAGCTCGAGACATCGTATACAGCCTCTTCTGAGTCTGGAATATCTGGTATCAAGCTTGACCATTTTCGATACCACCGTTCCTCACGACACAATTTATGCACTGCTTGCGATTGCGAAGGACACCACGCCACGAGCTGTAAGCGTACATGCTGCTGTTACATCTAGAAGCGCTCAAGCAGGCCTTGAGGTTTACACGCAGCGCAAGAGCTACAACGTCGACTACAAACTGCCGTACGTAGATGTATGCAAGGACTTCATTCAGTTCTCGATCGACCGTTCCCTTCACGGCAACGCAAGTCGCGCGTTGGATGTCATTTGCCGCCCATGGGCCATCGAAGAGAGGAAGCTACAAAAGATCCGGGATACCAAGGAGAAGGAGAAGGAGAAAGAACAAAGAAGGAAGAAGAGAGAGAAGGATCTTGAAGCACGCCGCAAGGGACGCGAGAGCCGTAAAGCACTTTCCAATCATGCCGAGTTTCCTGACCCACCTGAGGGAGCACCCGTTCAGAACGTATCTACGATTGCTGAATCGGGGGATATGGCATTACCTTCCTGGGTACCACAACTCTCGAATGCACCATACGCGATGGCCCAACGGCCGGGGTTGACCGGCCCCAAGATGAGTCGCATTAACGCCGATCCTTTGGTTGGACTTCCAAGTTCCTACTCTGCTGCTGAGACCAAGGGCGTCGACATCAAGGCGCTCCGATTTCGTAAGCGACTGAAACCTGGACACTTTGACGAGGGTCGATTCAGCATGTACGTCCGCGGCTTCAAGCTGGATGTTATAAAGGATGTCACCCAGGTATCTCGCAACGGGCACATTCCCGCAGAATGGCTTGATCTTGCAGAGTGGGAAGACGGAAAAGGGCTCCCACCTGATATGTTTTGGCGGACGCTCGTCGCCAACCGGGGCAAAGATGGCAAGAACCCACCCGTATACTACTCGCGGGCTTGCCAAGAATCGTTCAGAAAAGGTGGTCTTGAGAGCGGCGCAATCGACACTACCGCGCTCATCGAGTACGAACGCAACTCTGTCGTCGCCCAGTTCTGTCGCCGCGTGCAGGCCGTCACGTGGAACCGTGCTCTTGTGCGTACCGATCTCGGGACACTAGGGCTAGTCGGGAAAGATGTCCAAAAAGGCGACTTGGTCTGCATACTCTACGGATGCAGTGTTCCGGTCGTGCTGCGGGAATGTCCCAAGAAGACTGAAGAAGTATTCGAGGAAGAGATGGAACAAGAACTGGTCGACGTCAAGAATACCGTCGTGCAGAAATTAAGGCAATACATCTTGCGTAAACGACGACATGAAGTTTGGAAAGACAAAGAGATGGCAAAGTTATGCCGAGCATGGCTGAGAACCACCGACTACATACGTAAGCTCGGCATTGATTCTACCAAAATATCAGCCAAGTACAAGCAAGATGCCGAGAGCATCCTTCTACACACCTTGAAGCAATTCACATCCGACTTCAAATCCTGGTTATGCGAAGAGCGCAAGAAGGCATGGCCCGCATTTAAGACCCACATTGATGAGGAGGTGAATGAGCGAAAGGAGTACCCTAGAAGGAAAGTGAATAGGCCAGGTAAAAAGGAGACGGACGAAAACCTGCGAAGACAGACATCACGAAAACGGAGACAATCACTGGGTGCTGCGACCATGCTGGGGAGAATTACAGAAGCACCAACAACGACTGAAGCAACTGCTCCTACCGCTTCTAAGGATGGGCCTGCACCCATCAAGAAAAAGAAACCATTGGTGGACTGGTGGGAGTTCGAACTGGCACTTGTTGCTGGTAGGCGCTGGTTGCAAATGGCCAGAAAAGCGAAGGCCGATCGGATCGCCTTTGCACTGCGGAAAAGTGAAGAGGAATGGAAAGAGGTACAGCGTGGCGAGTACAAGGGAGTCAGAGAACTCGTTGAAAGAGAAAACAGAAAGAAGCTCGAGAGACAGGCCGACGAACACCGATACTGCGTAATGAGTGAACACGGCACCCACAACGGAGGTGTGGCTGGCGGCCACGAGATAGCGAATAAGGGACCTGGAAGAAACGACTCACCGAGAAGAGGCAATGAGGAGCATCGGAACGGGTACGGCGATGAAGACTCTCAGAACCATGGAGACAACGATGAGCCTTACAGCACTGAGGAATACGAAAGGACAGAGAGGGAGACTGATCCATACGACGGTGACCACAAGACAAAAGAGGAACCCCACAGAAACGGAGAGACGCCACAAACAAGTTCGAGCTTGCCACATTCGATTCCCATTACTGGACATGCGCCGCCCGTTATGCCAGAGACCATTCGGCCTAGCTGGCGCCGTCCCACAAACAGAACGAGATTGACAAAGAGCCAGGCGGTCGACTACAAGAGCAAAGTTATGGAGAACCTACGTGAGAGACTCGGCGAGGAAGGCTACTTTTCTTACACGCTTCTTGGCGAGTGTTACATTCATGGGATGATGGACGGTGAGGCGATGCAGCACCAGAATGAGGGTGCTGAAGGGGTGATTCCTTCGATGGTGTTTGAGATTCGCTGATGACCGGGTTTTGAGTTTGTGTAGCGAACGTAGTTTTGTGTTGTCTCAAAGCTCGGTACAAATGCACCAAACTTAAGAGCGCGACAGGGTGATTAGATGGTTTGCCCGAATTATGAGATATCACGTCCTCACGTGCATGCGCGTGGTCACTAGCTTAAACGGGCCACGTTTCAGGAGCCTGACGCGTCAGCCCCACTTCCGCGTTGCCGAGGAAATGCCAGGTCGTTTTCACACCTTACACCTCAATTCCCCTCAATTGAACTAGAAACTTTACAAGAACTCATCAAAACCATGGTTGCCCACTGCGCGCTGTGCCCTGACGAAGGCAAGCTCAGATGTGTCGCCTGCAACGGAATTCAGTACTGCTCCAAGCGGTGCCAAAAAGCCGATTGGAAAGTCCACAAGCTCATCTGCAAGTCCTTCAGCGAGCACATGAACAATCGTCCCAGTCAAAAGCACTACAGCATCATCGTCTTCCCGAAAGATGAAGAAGCGCCTCGCTTCGAGTGGACTCTGTTCGAGCCTGGCACCTACAACGCCAAGATTCCGTCGCCCAAGAAAGCCTACGTGCAAGAGCTGGGCTTCGAGTTTTATGGGGTAAACTGCAATAATCGCAACAACCCCATAGGATACTTCGAGGAAGATAGTACCGATTACACGACTAAGAGGCACATCGCTGGAAAGCATCTCGGGTTGCTCTTTACCAGAAACTTGGGATCTTTCGAAGAGCCTTTACCGGAGGATATACCAATCAGTCAGTCAATGCCTTTGTATGGATTGCACGGGAAACATGCTGATTTTATACAGACAAGAGCTTGATGGACATTGATCCTGAGCTTGCGCGACTCCACGGCAAAGGTCACGTCCTTGCCTGGGGCTGCCATTGTCCCGAAGACAGACGCAAAACCTCCGATCTCAACTGCACACCGGCAGACTTCCGCCATGCCGTCGACGCCCTGAGAAAGAACCACTACAAAGACAGCCTGCGGGCGAAGGAGGTCATATCAAGGAAGACTGGTGGTGTCCTTGCCGTGCGCCTCACTTGTGTGGGCGACAAGCTATTCTTCGGCCATCCTACATATGAGAGCCAGATCGAGCCGCGCTCCATCCTGAGCAAAGATTCTCAGGTCCCCTGCCCAGTCGCCGACAAAGTTGGCATTCCACTCATCATTCGGAAAGAGCCTCCCGCGCTCTCCTGGCGCGACCGCGACGTCGAGTCCCGTCGGGAGAACCATAACGCGGCGATGCTCAACCCGCCTAACCAGAAGACTAAGACCGGTACTCTGATCATTGCTCGCAAGGACGGGAAGCCGCTCTTGCCCACGCACCTCTTTTGCCTCATCATCTACACTGGCGAGAGGCTGCAAGACCCGAAGTTCGGTGAGGACGGCCACCGTCTGCCGAGTATGATGTTGCAGAGCCGTTTGAACCTGGTGTCTCCGGAGAACTTTGAGGAGTACTACAACAACGAGTGGCATCGTTTGAAGCTTAGTGAGAGGTTTGTTCCTTCGCCTTATCAGATGTATGATGATTATGATGGCGAGATTCATCCTATCAATATGAGATAGGTTGGGATGGATATGGGTGAAGCATTGGCTTGCGCATTGGCTTGCGGATAGCTTGAACGATATATGGAAGTACGTAATTGCAACGTAGAGGTACTGAATGTGCTCTGTCATATTTAGCTAAACAGCATCCCTCAATTCAACCTACACTCTGTCTGTATCTACAATTCGCTCTTATGAGACACCTCCCTACTAACACCGTCGCCCTCTTTCCCGCCACCACTTCCAGCCAGCCTGACAGCAATGGTAGGCTTATGTACCAACGTCTGCAGCACCACACAATACCTCTCTGTCAACTTGCCCAGCTTCTCGATTTCTTCCTCGGTAACCTCCTTGCCATCTTCCCCCTCCCCAAACTTGACCGCAAACTCCAACCGTATGCCTGTTATACCAACAGGAGCCGTCCTGTCTACGCCCAGTGTGCCTTTGAAGTCCAAGTCTCCTTCTGCGGTAACGGTTCCCGAGGCGATGGGTATGCCGAGAGCGGTAGCGACGGCTTTTAGGGTGACGCCTGAGCAGGCTACGAGGGCATCGAGGAGCATGTCTAATACACGGCGCATAAAGTCAGCACGTGTATCAAATGTAATTCCGATAGAAATTGCTTACCACCAGAGCACAGTTCACCAGATATCGCTGGGTCGTCACCGCCGGCCTTCTGGTGCAGACCAGCCACTCTATGCGCTTCCTTGACCGCCGAGCTATCGGATAGCTTGCATGTTATCGAATGGTCGTCGAGCGAGCCCGTGGATTTGAGGGTGACAACAGCGGAAGAAGGGTCGCTGCGGTACCCGTCTTTGATCGGGGCTTGCTTTTGGCGGAGCGCTTGAGCGGCGGACATGTTTGCGATGAATTGGATGCGAGATCGGTATGTGAAGACACGCGAATTCCTGTACTTAGTTTCAAGTATAAACTTCTGCAAGGACGCCTAGAACTTTCTCAGTGGCTCAGTCTAGCCTATACATCATTATGAAGTGTACCCCGCAAGGGGCAGGTGGGAGCTCCGCAGCCCCGCTTCGCCGCTGGTGCGAACGATCAAACAGGGAGGAGGGGTGGCTGGGTCGGGCAGCTCCATGGATGCCCAGAGACCTCATGTCGAGAGCTTGGAATCTCATGCTAATGAGCACGTTTGAGATGGGAGAGATGAAGGATAGCAGGCACGACCTGCGCGAGTTGGATTTGCTACAGATACGTGCAGACACTCGATAAGATAAGCGTCAGGGGTCCAGCGCGTGTGCGGCACGCGTCTTCGCTCCACTTCAACGTCATTTCTCGTCACGTCTCTTGCCTTCATACGATCCACACTGCGATCGCGTCCTTTTCTTCCGTGTAAACTAACCTCCGGTCCTCGAGCATGAGTTAGTGCACTCGACGTTTCTCTGCTACAGGCTTGTCACGGTTGGGACGACGGTTGTCGCATTGCCATTGGTCCAAGGCTACAGCTTCCGATGCTGAGTGCATACAAGTCAACCGTAAGCCCTTTCGCCTGTCTTCAATTCTCGCAGAGATCCGGTAGGCTCGCGGTTCCCAGCATGCGAAGCCCAACCGAGAGGCCGCTACGGTGACGCATACGTGTAACAAACTAATCGGACAGTGCGTGGCTGTGATATGGCGGTCGACAGACACCAGCAGAAGATCTAACGTGCCACGCAGCTTAGTCTCACATTACCCATTCACGCGCCTCCACTCTTAGCGCTACGATCTCCACGTCGACATACTAGCTATCCTACTCCCGCGCAACCGCACTTGCACCTACGCTCTCAGCATGGCTCGCTTTGCCGACCTTCCTACTGAGCTCGAGCTTCAAATCGCGTCACATCTCTCCTCCAAAGATCTCGCCTCCTATGCGCGCATCGGCAAAGTCCAAGCCAAGGTCGCACGCGAGCATCTCTACTCCGCACCGAAGATCGAACAACCAGATGAGGGGCATCGGCTAATGATGCTGCTACGCACATTGTTCGCCCGCCCTCAGCTCCTCACAAACATACACTCGATATCGCTCGCTATCGTGAACTGTACTATGCCTTTCGGCCTCGGTTCGACAGCAGAAGAGGCCGAAGCTACACGCATCGATTGGGATACGACTAACAATGCCCGTTTTGTTGAGGTCGATAGAATTGTCGGCAGCCCTCATTGCTTGGGATACAAGGACGTGTATCAGCAGCTCGTCTTCCGCCTCAAAAAAGTCATGGGCAATCATGACTCCGAGCGGTATTGGTTTTCGCATATCGTGAGATGGCGCTCTGCAGCTCTCTACGGCGGATTACTTCGAATTCTGCCTAATTTAGAGCGACTGGAGCTTGAATGCTACACCAAGCTACATGAAGGAATATACCTACCTACAGATGAGACAGATCGCAAGTTTTCGGAAAGTCTCTTTCCTTCCACGCCGTGGCGCATAGGCCCGGTGCGTTTCCCGATGTTGAGCGAGCTACATGTCAAGTGCGGACTCTTGATCAATAGCACTCACCTCTTACCCAATTTGAGGACCTTGAAAATTGGTGAGCTCGCAGATCTCCCCCATACTGAGTTTCCGTCCCTAGTACGCATGCACCATTTGTCTGCGTGCGCTTCCTTGTTGCAAGGAGAAAGCCCGGATTGGGCTATGCCTCGACTATATCACCTCCATGGTGAGATGTTAAAAGTACAAAACTTCAATTTACGCTTCCGGGCACGGACCATCCGCAGTATTGGCGGTGGTCCCGTCCGATACGGCGGTATTCTTTCTCTTGCTGGGATATTGGAACGTCTACATGTGTCTAAGTCAGTTCTAGAGACGCTATCCGTAGAACCCATCGACCATAGCGAACTCCTACACTGTCGGTTTCCAGTTAATCCTGATGGGTTGATATCGGACTTCAGCATGTTTACCAGCCTACGAGAGCTTACTTTGCCCTTTCGACCATCTTCGGACACTCTGGAGGGTAAACTACCCCCAAGTTTGGAAAAGCTTAGTCTACTGTGCACCAGCGCAGTTTCTCCCACATCGGTCGAACATACCCTTCAACACCGGCTCAAATACGGCATCTTCTCGCGTCTCGATCTTTCCCTCTTGTTTGAGGCTGAAATAGACATCAATTACGAAGCCTGGGATAGGTTCAAGAAAGCTGGTGTGGCTGTGTATATCTGGGTGCGACAGTCTATGCTTCTGTGTGAAATGCCTGTGTAGGGTAGGAGGGCTCGGGGAACGGCGTGGACATTTCCTGGTGGATCAACAACAAACTTGGCAGGTTGTATGAGGGGCGATCATATTGACGCAGATCTGGACATGGCTGTGGGACCATGGCGGACGCTAAGAGACTAAGGGAGTAAGCGCGTCTTCACGTGATCTGGGGCAGCTCCCCCTCTGGGCAGCACCTTTCAAGCCTGGGCCACACCACCCAGCAACAACTCCGACTCGGTGAGTGTCAAAACGGTCTGAATCTCCGCCCCTTTGAACACCGCCATCATTGCAGCTCTCGGTTACTGGATGACATACTGCAGTGCCTGCAGCCAAGTCTCTGGTTGCGCTCTTTCACCTTCGGGTCACGACTAGCGCCCAACAGTCTGTGCACGAAGCAGCGCGTGATCGTCATTTCGTTGCGACCTTCTCTCGCTATTATGTAGCTTTTCAGCAGCCCTCACCCCTCTCCATCGTCTATCTGCTCACGAAAAGCGTCTAGCTGGACGGCGCCTACCCCAACACATCTTTGCACAATCCGGTACCACAGGATTTGTCGCCAACATGTCGCTCACCAGCTCCGCCGCTGTCTGCCAAGCTACTCCCGGTAACAAGCCGTTCAATTTCGTCGCTCTTCCTCTCGAGGTCAAGGAGCTTATATACAAGCACGCTCTGTTCGCTGGTGGCCATCTCAGGACCAAACTCTACGTTCCTACCGAAATTTCCGACAAGAACGCACTTCAGAACTCTTTCCCAGCGATTTGTTTCACCAACAAACTCGAGCGCATCATCGCTTCCCGACTCTACCTGCGATACCAAACAATCTCCATGGACAACAGTAACGACTCACCAGTTCTTGAAGCTTTCCTATCACAGTTCGGAGAAGCCAATGAGGGACTACGATGGTTGAAACATGTTCAATTTGCCTATTACGGAGACTTCTGTGACGACTTCAGCAAAGCTATACCTTTGATCAAGGTGTGCACCGCGCTAAAGACAGTTGTATTCAAAATGGTCTCACCACATCTTTATGGATGGTCGAAACGCGGACCGACAGAGAAGAAACTTAGCACCAGTGCTGAGATCTTCGAGCGTCTGCATCTACATGGCTTGGCCGACTGTGGTCATTTGACCAAGGTTCGATTCAACGTGTTTAAAGGTCGTCGTGCGGAACTGGAGGGCTTGAAGGAGTTGATCCAGGACTTTTCATGTGACTTTCTGGCGTTGCACGGATCGACAGCTTCCAAAAAACTCGATGTCGGTATCATGGATGAGTATGGTTTGATATGGGTGTTGGAGCCGCAGGTATGAGAGAAAATGTACAGACATGGCGCGGCAAAGTAATTATCGATGGGCCTTTTGCTGCATGCGATTACGACTTCACAAGAGCAGTGGATGGGTGCAATAGTGAGGGCTGGGGTATACATTGATGTGCGTCGCGGTACAGGCAGCGCAGATGTGGGTTAGTGGCGTCTACGTGAAGCTGGATGAAGGTGCAGGCGAGGGAAAACAAGATCCCTGTCTTTTGTCACCGCGATTCAGTACCCACCACTGTAGACCCAAAACTGCGAGAAACACGATGTTTAAAGTCTGAGCTTGGAAGGAAATTATGCATCATTAGGAATCTTATTTTATCTTTCCTAGTGGCGAGTGCTTGTGCACTTTGCATTGTATAAGGCCTGTGTCATCTTGACAGCTACATGAATGAACGTCTGGAGCAGCTAAGGCTGGAAAAGATGGATTCCGATGCGCCATATACTAGACGTATAGTAGTCTCTCTAGCTTTAGGGTGGGGAATTTGGTAGCGCGCCGAAGTAGCAGTTGACAGACTTGATCCTGTTCTGTTCATTGTCGTTAGTTCAGATGTCCTTGACAAAAGAGGCCAGATGTCTAGAGCACTCACATCCAATCCGTACGGATAAAGATCTTCAATAGATCGGCCGGTGTTGTGAGACGGGTTATCTTGGTTGATAACCTCGCAGTTCCGCGTCCTAGCTTGGGTCAGCCTTATATCACTTGTGAGCCTGCTTGATGAGACTTACTGGAACAAGTCGCATCGGAACGACTTGTGCGCATTTTGGTAACCGTCAGGACACTGTGTTAAGGATACCGAGGAAGCCCAAGGGTTGTCCCTACAATGTGTCAGCAACGGTACAGGACGGGCGTAGGTTGGTGCGCTCACTCCCTGATGTTCCTGCAACCCAGATCGCCCTTGGAGCAGGAGTAGGCGACACTTCTGCTACCTTGGTAATTGGTTTGTTCAAACAGGGCAAGCTAAATGGCTATCAGCGAATTGATCAATAGGACGACGATGTGCCATACCAAGTGCGGATCTTCGGCGCTGGTGTCTGCGGTACCGATGTCTGCCGTGCCAACGTTGGAGAAGGTTTCGATGTCGGATTGGCGCTCAGAACGAGCATCAACTCCAGCGACGTGAGCATCCTTATCCCAGAAGCACTGCATAGACCTAATCATCTTCTGTTCACCGTAGTCAGTAAAGAGACGCTTCTTTCACGATGTCATGACTTATTGGTACTCACATCGAATTTCGGCGTCGACTTCGTGAGCTGGTCGATAGATGTGCGCGTCCAAAGGAACCTAGAAGTATAGTCGCAGGTCGGTGTGCTAGCTAACGTTACTCTTGTACCGCAGATGAGCTTGCTCGATAAGGCCTACGAGAAGAAGAAACATGCGAAAGTCCTGCCCGTGTTTGGTGAGTGATCGGGACATACTTGTAGAGTGAGCGAAGATGCCCATGGCTCAGAGCTTGAATGTGTTAGTCATGGTGAAGTGGACTGGCTCGGTGCACTCACGCGCCGTCTGCGAGGCAACCATTCATTCCCGTAGCGCATAGGTAGGCGTGAGCTCGCCTGCCTTGCCTGTAGGGTCCTTCGTAGAGGTGTACCTAGATGGCAGTTAGAGAAGATGAGTAAGGGGTAGTGGTGTGCACGTACAGCAACCGGAAAAGGGTTAATGTCTGCAGTGCTGACGTCGGCAATCTCGGAGATACCGTCGAGCTTGACGCGGGACGCGCTCGCGAACATTTCCTGAGGCATGATCACTTCGCTGCCATCGATGACCATAGGCTCATCGCTGAGCTCGATCGTGGTGCCATCAGTCTTTTGCAAAGTGAGGCCTGCTGCAACCGAAAGTAGCGTCAGGAAGAGGATGAGGAGACGCATGGCGGGAGAGAGATTGCTGTAGGAGGGCGAAGTGATAAGTCGAATCGGGAACGAGTTGATTTGACTTGCTGGTGGAGGAAGAAGTAAGAGGCAAGGACCGCAACGGGAGCGTAGATTTATGTGTCGAGAAGAGTAAAAGGTAAAGGCAGGCTAATTTTCGAGTCAACAAGTGAGTGCCCGTTTGCCAACATTCCGATCGTTAGTGAAGCCGAGGCCTATGCCCGACTCCTGTGTCACGTATGAGAGGTCGGTCGATTGCACGTGCTTTCGAGCAAACGACGCCACGAGAAAGCTGGTTGATGACATGTGTTGGCCTGCCGCCTTCACTCATCAGTGATTATCGTAAAGACTCGTGATGTGGGGCAATAAATCAATGTATTCATTTGAGGTTAGGAAATGCTGAGACAGGCCTCCGCTAGCCCTCCCAGGTACTCCCACATGGTACATGGTCGTGATGCCCAGGTTCTGCATCCCTTCAGCCTACTGTGCGCAGCTGAAGGAAGCCAAAGCTCATACTACAAGCGTGTCTTGCTTGTAAACCGAATCGCATATTAATCCAGAGTCATCTGGACGGCCCATCTGTATGCCAACCCTGCGTTCACCTCAAATCCGAAGTCGTACGAAGACGCGACATCTGGTAACCTACCCAAATGTGTGCTCCATGAGGACGTTTGGAGAAATAACACCTAGCGCATCAACGAACAGTCGTGGCGAACCCAAGGTTGTCCGCGTATAGAGAGTTCGTCTGGTCAGAGTTGAAGTTCAGAGGATGGCATCGGGTGCTCATACGACAACCCCGCGGGTGATCGGCGCTAAGGCCTCTGAACTCTCATTGGCCCCCGCCATCGCCCACAAGTAGGCAGCAAATACCACCAGAGAACCCCGAGCCTCGCAGCCTTCGCCCTAGACCAGCCACAATGCATCAATCAAGTGTTGGCAATCTGCTCAACCTACTCCCTCGACCTCCATGGACGCAGCCACTCAATTGGGATCTAGGAATGAACTGGGGTGGCGAAAAACGCGTCTTCTTCCCTGCGTACGTCAGGCACCGTGACGGCAACAGTACGTCGCAACCATCGCCTACCGGGTTCTCTTCATTCCAAAGGCTTCCTACCGAACTTCAGCTTCGTATCCTCTCATGTTGTTCGATACCAACCCTTTGGCAGCTCATGCGAACGTCATCCATGCTACGCATCGAGTCATCAAAGCTATTTTGGGGACATCCCGATGCCTCTTTCCTCATGAGTGGTCATTGGATTATTGGAGGCGGTCATCCTGGTCGTACTTGTCTCGACCTTACGTTCCTTGCCTATGTACAGAACGTAGAGATTGAGTACAGCTGCCTGCACTACTGGCTTTGGCCGAAACAAGAAGCAAAGGCATCATTCCGTCTAGAAGACGTGCAACAAGACATTGTGGCTGGATTTTGGTTTACATTGAAGAAGAGATGCCCGGCAGCTAAGAGGGTGGTGTTCAATCAGAATTTGATGCTCTGCGACGTCATGGAGGAAGTCGAGAAGGTGCCACTATGCCTGGAAGTATTGTTACGAGCTTCTCCAAAAGACATCGTCGCTGAGGCAGTCATCATGCAGACGCGAGGGGAAGGTGAGAATTGGAAGACCGATTTGTACAGCTATAGGGAGAAGCCGCAGTGGAGAAATGTATACTTTCGGCCTCTTGGAGATGGAGGCTGGGAATATCTTGATGCGACAACGCGTAACAACACAGTACTAGTGCCTGGACGGCTATTTCGCGGTCTAGTCGGGCAGTTTGAGAAAGACAGCTTTGTTTTGGATAGGATCATCTTCCAAGAACGCGCGTTTTGGCCTCTCGTCATAGAAGCCTTGGACCGACACCACTTCGATAACGGGAAAAGCAATGCTTTCGAATGCCCGAAGCCCGAATGCTCGGTGAGATTTACAAAGGCTGGCGAATGGACGATACATGCAGCGACTACGTCACATGGCTGCGCTCGAGCAGGGGATGATCTCTTCGATATACTGCCTACAGAACTGCGAGGAGTATTCAAGGACAGGTACAACATGTTGATGATAAAGAGACAGGAATTGAGCGAGGTCTACACAAAGATCTCGAAAGATTGGAACGAAGGTGGGGAAAAGAGAAAAAGAATGCAGCAAGAAATTTTTCAACAGCTGGAAAACGATCCAGATTGGGCAACAGACGAGCCGGCGGCAGATCACCGGATCTGGAAGAACTTCACAAAGGTGATGGATCCGACCTGGAATGGACAGTGAACAGGATTTGCGACCTGGCTGAGAGTGTATAATGACATTTCAGGGAACTAGTTCGGTCGCGACTCGGTAGTTTCAAAGGGTCGCATGCCGGTAGTCGGAAAATGCAGTGATCTATGCACACTAGATCGTTTGGAGTCTCACGGGCGCGACGTGAGCTTGATCAGGATCAGTAATGCTATCAAATACCCAAGTCGCGGTAGAGCCGGCTTGGTTTGTTCGCTTCCGTACAGTTTCTTCGGTACCAACTCAACCATGATCTCGAGATCAGGTGCATCGGCACATTCTCAAATGCTGAATGATCCGGTAACGTGTTTACTCAACAGGCTACGAATATCACCCTACTCCACCTCCGATGGGTCAAGCGCGTGCATCGGGATGCTCAGTCGGACACCGACTTTGACATCGCGAACCATCGGGCCGTAAAATTTCTCGCTCCTCATGTGTGCTACTAGGCGCGTCCATATGCAAATTTTGAGCCTCATCCTACCCACAACGCGTCTCGAAGCACGCGTGGGCCGTTCGGAGCTGTCGGAGCATCCGGAAAGGGAAAGCCGACCGCCACTATAACGTGTTTTCGCGTGGCAGACCGTCTGGAAGTCAGCAAGTTGCAGGCCCCACGTGCAAATGTCGGGGCAGGTCGGAGGTGGATCGAGAAATCGATAGTGGAGATTCCGCGGAGGAGTGAATCGTGCACCGGCAGCCGGTGTGCCATGGGGGCGAGGCGCCAGGCGTTCGAGACGGTAGCCGAGCTGACGTCACGGGTCGCATTCTTAACTTCGATAAACAAGGCTAAGACGCGTGGCGCAGCTTGGCGCGGACGATCGGCGCAGCTTGGTCTGCCTTCTTTTGATGCTTAGAGGGCGGGCGGAGGCCTTGTGTTGGAGGCTTAAAAGCCAAGATCAGGTGTCGCGAAACCATCTGTGGTGTGGGAATCGTGCGAAGATAAGACTTGCAATGCAGTCAAGGATGACGTAGCACACCTTCTACCGATTACTCGGTGTACATCCGACAATGAGGAGATGGCAAGGCGTCCCGCGCGTCTGTCCAAAGCCAATACTACCTTCGCTTCGGTCGACGCGCACTTAAGTTTCGACCCATATTTAATGCTACATCGCCTGGTCTGAGAGGTCCCGGGGACAGTGTCCAACGGCCTCTAGCACCAACGCGCCATAGCGCTCAAGCCCTGTCAGCCGTGGAAGCTGTAATATGACGTTTCGAGGATTCGAGCGCGTGCCTTGTGATGCGCACAGTGTGCATTGGGCTCTTCGGAGCGTGCACCCGCGCCTCTGGATTCACTGCGCGTCTTATAAGTTGCTTCTTCCGCCTGCGTGACGTCTGGGTTTTATCATCTTACCCCAGATTCTCCCACCCAGTCCCCGCAACTGGTTCCCGGGTTGACTACTTTTTACCAACAACCCGCCCAAGCGCATTGCTGTCGACAACATGGCGTCTGCAGCAGAGCGTAAGCCCGAAATCCACGACATGGACACCGTCAACAAGAACGAAGCTGGTGACGCTGAGAAGAAGAGCGCTTCCGACGGTGACCTTAACCACACTGAGAACCCGGCCGATCACGCGATCACCGCCGCCGACAAAGAACACTACGAAAAGTACGGCACCTACGATCGCTACGAAATCACCGAGGAAGACTGCTACGACGAACTCGGGTTTTGTTTTCCAACATGGAAGAAATGGACCATTCTCAGCATCGTCTTCATGGTGCAGGTCAGCATGAACTTCAACACCTCGCTGTACAGCAACGCCGTCGGGGGTATCTCTGAGGAGTTCAGCGTCAGCAAGCAGGCAGCGCGTCTGGGTGCAGCCATCTTCCTCATCACGTACGCGTTCGGCTGTGAGCTTTGGGCTCCCTGGAGTGAAGAGCTAGGACGATGGCCCATCCTCCAGCTCAGTCTCTTCTTTGTCAACATCTGGCAAATTCCCGTAGGCATTGCGCCCAACTTCGGTACCATCCTTGGATTCCGTGCACTCGGCGGTCTCTCTACTGCAGGTGGTTCAGTCACTCTCGCCATGGTCGCGGACATGTGGGAACCGTAAGTACTTCGCGCCTTCATTCGAGTTTCATACTAACAGTGTTAGTGACAACCAACAATACGCCGTTGCGTTCATCGTCTTCTCCTCCGTCGGCGGCTCGGTCCTCGGACCCATCGCGGGTGGCTTCGTCGAACAATTCCTCGCGTGGAGGTGGAACATCTGGATTCAGTTGATCTTCGGTGGAGCCGTCCAAATCGCCCACGCCATCTTCGTCCCCGAAACCCGTACCACCGTCCTCATGGACCGGATCGCTAAGAAACGCCGCACGGAAGGCGAGAAGAACGGCAAGCCCAACAACATCTGGGGACCCAACGAGCTCAAGACGTTCAAGGAACGTTTCAGTGTCCACGAGATTCTCGTTACTTGGGTCCGTCCCTTCCGCATGTTCGTCACGGAACCCATCGTGCTCGTTCTCTCCCTGCTATCCGGTTTCTCCGATGCTATCATCTTCATGTTCCTGCAGTCATACGCACTCGTATACGAGCAATGGAACTTCTCCGCCTACGCCATTGGACTGGCCTTCATCGCTATCGGTATTGGCTACTTCATCGCATGGTTCTCGTTCTTCCCAGCTATCAAGCGCAACGAGCGCCTCCGTCGCGACCACCCCGATGATGAGAGGTCTCAATACGAGGCGCGTCTTTGGTGGTTGCTGTACACCGCGCCATGCCTTCCTATCGGTCTCATCATCTTCGCTTGGACAAGCACTGGCCCACCAATCCACTGGATAGGATCTCTGATCGGATCAGCAATCATTGGTATCGCCAACTACGCCATTTACATGGCAACCATCGACTACATGATCTGCGCGTACGGTCCTTACTCAGCCTCCGCGACTGGTGGTAACGGCTGGGCTCGTGACTTCCTCGCTGGTGTTCTCACGCTCCCCGCCACGCCTTTCTTCTCCAACATTGGCGGAGAAAACCATCTCGCGTACGCGTCCACGATCCTCTTTGCTATATCTCTTCTTCTCGTAGTTTCGGTCTACGTCATCTACTGGAAGGGTCCTGAACTCAGGAAGCGCAGTCCCTTCGCACAGCAACTTAGTGCTGCTCGTGACGAGACTGGTGGCCGCCGTGTTAGCAGTCTTCCAGGCATGTACGGCTCTCGCGCAAACTCATTCGCGCAGCAGGGCGGCTCGATGCCCAACTCTCGCAGGGGTAGTGTGGTGCGCGGTGTTCCGGGTGGCGAGAACAGGTACGCGATGCACCGCAGGCAGAGTGCGCGCAGCGCCGGAGGTGCTTGAGCGTCGCTTGTGTTTCTTAGTAATATAGACGATACGGCATAATGATATCTTAACGTTCATGAATTGATTGTGTGTTACTCTCGTGAAGATGTTGGTGACGGATGGCGATCCCAAGCCTTGTGATCTGGGCTGGCTGTTACATAATCGAATCTGCCCTGCTGTTGCCGTTGTTGCGCGACTTCCTCTCGAGACACCACGAACACTAAACTCCTTGTTATTTTATACCAAAACAATGACGCGACCGCTGGTGCGACAGCACAAGCACTCTTGTGACGAAGAGCGCATGTACCTTCATACTGCGGACGCCACCAAAGAACATCTCGCCGACCCAGCGGCCTAGCTAGGTTTGCGCCGAAAGCATCTCGTCCACACGCGGAACAACGGGACTGTATCCACCAAATCCAACCAATACTCCTTAGAGACAAAGATAAGTTTGTCTTATCGCCATCGTGTTGTTATACAACCGCATTCGGGACTGTCTTTGGGGTTATCTCCTCCGGGTTGACAGGGGTGTCCGTACCATTCCCATGTGTGTATGTACTCTCTTCGAGCCTGCTCTTTTTCGAGAAGAAGCGCAAGATCTTCTTCTCGACATCAATACCCTTAGCCTGCCAGGTTATTGCTTCCTCGAACTCATCGAACTTCACGCCAGCTTCTTTCGCGCGTTTACGGATCCCACGAGTTCGGAACAGCCAGACCCAGTGTGAGACGACCATACTCATCTCGATGGCACAGCTAAGCATCGTTAGTCTTATTCACTGATAATATGATTCCCACGATACATACCATAATGCGTACATGGTCCCGAAGAGCACGTCAAACTCGTTCTGGGCTACGAGAGCCATCAGCGAGAAGAACGCGCCGTTCCAATCGATGGCCAAGAAGATGAAGTCTATACCTACGACACGGCCCCGTCTCTTGAGTAGCTCAAATGGGATAGGTATGTAGCCTGAGATGAGAGTGAGAAAGGCGACGATGCCGATCAATAGGACTGGCCACTCTAACCCGTCGGCGTATGGCTGTCGGATAGCATAAACAAGACCAACTTCAACCCCTGCGAATAAGACGAGAAGAGCGAAGAGCAGAAGAGATGCAGTCCAGGTTCGCCATTTCCTAATCCTGGTTAGCCGTCCGATCTTGACAGGCAATGTCGTTTCATTTCGATGGACTCACTGGCTGTAAATAAGACACTGCGCCCAACTAACACCGCACAACACACAGAAGCACTGCGGCTGGACGATAAGCGGGATGTTGAATTGCTGCGCGATGGCGTACACTCCGAAGGGCACTCCACTAATTGACCATAGCAGCATCATGGACTCAGGCAGTCCATCTGTCTTCTTGGTTCTCCAGTTCCGGTATATTTGCGGTAGTAATTGGACGCACCAGAATACTGTTCCAATGGTCCCGAGTACATTCGCAGCTAGAGGTATTGACGTCTGCGGCGCCATTTCACGTCGGCGGAATGAATTCGAGAACGAGTAACACGGTAGTATGGTCCAAGGGTTGCGAGGTTGGAAGCTCTATCGCAACTCAGGTAAGAGGTATTAATGTGTCCTAAGCATCGGTGGCGAACTAGGAAGTGAAATTGCTGGCCCGCTATCTAGCTCATATGCCGACCAGTGAGAGCGCGGTGCAACAGCGGCTCAACCACGAAATCGCAACTTGGGAAACCCGTTATCCTTTCACTGTTTCTCCGCTTCCTAGATGGGCGAAGATATAAGCCAATCCAACTGGTGTATTCTGCGTTCGCTTGGTCCCGTGCTGCGGGTAGCTAGGATCACGCTATGCGAGTCGAGGCAATAGATAACATGTCGTGCATAAGCTTTCCCCACTCTTTTCTACGGATGCCAATCCGGGTTGTAGACCCTCGGTATGCTGCCCGAGTCCTTTTGTCTGAGATGCTTCGTTCGGGTTTCACGCGCGGGCTTCAAGTCTTCCCGTGAGGGACTTTGAGTGTGTACATTGGTCGGGTTGGTAAGTCGATTACGGTGGTTTACCAGGGTTGTTCGTCGAAATGGTGGTTCCCGTACTCAACCATGGTCTACAATACTTCTCGTTCGAGAGGGATATGTTATCCGATTCATCGTTCGTGTCTCGGGCTCTTTTTCAACTCCTTAGCTGTATATTCATTTCCATTAGAACTGTCACTACTGTCGTCAATCCTGTTTTCTAACGATACTCTACACCAATTGACTTAGGAAGCTTTAGACAAGTACCACAGTGAGTGGTGTTAATGCCTGTGAGCTCTATGAAGAATGTATGACGGAATCGTTACTGCGTTAAGAAGACTGTAGATCCGAAGGAAAGGTTGGTATAAGACAGTAGCCGCATCGTTATTGCGTTATGCACGTAGTGAATATGCGGGTGCATACACGGCTGCCTATGGCTACCACTTCGCATATATATTCCGTGCTCTATTGACTGCAAAACACAGAAGATCGTCCTATCAACCTACCACAAACCCCTCAACACATACCGCGTACCTTTCGCAAACTCACTATGGCCGCCGCAACCCAGCCCGATGGCTTCTTGACTCTTCCCGCCGAGCTCCAAGTCAAGGTCTACAAATACGTTCTTGCCGCCGCTCCGAAAGCACCTGGCCCAGGTAATCTCGCACCTTATGCCGGTCTCCTTCTGTCGTGCAAGAAGGTTGCCTTCGACTTCGAGTACGAATGGGCGAAACACTACAACGCGCGTCTCCAACATATCGTCGAGAACACTTCCTTTCACCCATTGCCTGTCAAACGGTATGTGCATGCGGCGCATCTTCGTATCTTAGTCACACAGCCGCGGCCGGACCCGGGCCCATACATTTACGAAGTACGGGCACCACCAGACTTCATGGAAATGACGCGGTTCTACACTCTGAGGCTACCCTACCCAGCCCGCAGTCTTACAGTAGATCAATTTCTCTCCACAGGTCAAGCACTTCAACTCCAGGCCCTGCAGTCAGGAGTCGCATCAAGCGGAGTCTTCTCTCGGGTTGACTTCAGGGCGCAGGAAATACACTGTTCTTCTAAACCGGTTTTCGAACGCCAACACTCCCAGAGTAGCCAGCATGGAAGCCAGAGCGATCATGTTCGGCGTCTGACCCTCGAATCCATACCAGATGAGATTCGGGATCAGATTTGGTACCATGTGCTATCCGAGGGTCCGACTATGGAACAGATTTGCGAGTTGTTGGATGTGTTCAATAACTCGCCTATGATTCAGGGCCACATTGTGTACCGCGCCTTCGGGGACCGCTGGTTCAGGTTTCGGTGAATATGGCAAGCGGGGCACATGGGGAAGGTTTTGAAGGTGTCGATGATCCAGAAGCAAACGAGCCACGTAATGATAGCACTGATGAGATCTTGATATATGGAGCAGGGTCCAGTAGGGGAAAGCATCCAGACTCCAGTTTTCAATAGTTCGCTTATGAAGCCATCACCAAAATCGACAGTGTGTTCGTGAATGTATTGTACTCGGCCTGGTGTAGCTTCAGTCGATGTCTTCTCATTCTGCGTGCCAAGTCCTACTAGCGTATCAGCAGATGTCCCCATCGTGTCATCCGGGTCGAAAATCTCCTGCGCTACGTTGCGCCATTGTTTGAGCGAGACCTATGTATAGTGTGGGGATATCTGTCGACGGAATTGAGCGGAGCCCTGTCAGCCCATTTGGATGATTATGTAAGAAGAGCTAAGTGAGCGGCGCCGATCTTCATACGTCACAACCCCCTCACATCAGTCACCGCCAAATCCATCAGCACAGCCTCGAGCATTTCTGTCGTGTATTTACCTACCTCACAACTACCAGCGAAAACGCAGTCAGAGCTATTTGCCTTAACAGTTTCCCAATACCGTGATGTACGGCAGCGTCTTTCTCACGTCATGAAGATAAACCTAGAAATATGGCAAGTGCGCTCGGCCGGAGGCACTACCACTGAAAACCACCGAGATCCGCTACCCTAAACCACGCGGTGCCCAGAGGGTCATAACGATCGCGATCAGCACTCAGCTTGCAGCAAAGACAACGTTGGCTGCTGTTGAGGAGAAGCAAACCAAAGCCACCATCACATCTCATTCGCAACTCGCCCAATCAGCACATGCGGCCCAAGATCCCGACAGCCATCCAAGATACGATCGACGTCATCATAGTCCGTTGTTCTGCTCAAGGCATCTCAAGCGATCCAATTCCGTTGTAAGAAGTGTTCGCATCGAGGTGTATCGTGATGTGCAGAGCTCAGGTGTCATTCCGATGGAACGCCTATCATGCACGCGCGTCGATGGTCCCTTGTTGTTACCGGATCTTTACATCCTGAACTTTGTGGGGTAGCGCCATCGGCTCCGCGATCCCCCAATAGTGCAAGCCACGGGCCGCTCCAAACAACGAAATTTTCTTAATAGCCTTGGTAGGCTCTACCTCATATCTCACTATGCATCCCACACCATCCGCAACGAATGCCTCCTAGAACTCCCTATGGGCGAAGAGATCGCTCCACCCCAAGATTTCGGTGCTTGGGGTCCGTTTGTTCGCGACAACTACCGCCCTATACGTGTGACTCGCGCAGACATAGCTGTAGCGGCTGCAGCGTTCGGTTTGACCAACTTCTTCGCCATAACCGCAGCCTTCATCGCCATTAGGCAGACGAAAGCGTGTCGGCGCCCGAGGACCAGTGTCTATATCTGGATGGTTTGGCTGGAAATCGCGGCTTCGGTAGCTCTGGCCATCGATTGCCTGTTGTATTTGTTGAGGATTATAGAACCTAGCTTTTACTTCTTCTTCTCAGTCTGCAAGTATACCATGGCCTTGGCATCTGTACTTGGCTGACATCAGCAGTGCTTTGCTGGGTTTTTCAGATTCAGTTACTGCCTCAAATTATTATCAATCGCATTCGTATCATCCTTGGGGATCGAGTCAAAGGCCGGCGCCTCGTCGCAGGCGCCGCGATCTATGTGAGCCTGATCAATATCAGCGTGTTCATTATCTGGATACCTGCGCGGCTGCAGATAAGCTCAAAGTACGCCTGCAATCCGATTTTCATGAGTACGCCCACTAATGGACGCAGTTGGGTTCGAATTAACGCTATTTGGGATCGCACCGAGAAAGTATTATTTCTTCTCCTCGATGGATACCTCAATTGGTATTTCATCCGCGTCGTCAATGCGGATCTGGTTAAGAACGGCTTAAGCAAGTACAATCGCCTGGTCCGTTTCAACAAGCGCATCATTGTCGTCTCTCTCTTGTTGGACGTCTTGATCATTGGCGCGATGAGCATCCCCAATGGATTTGTGTGAGTTTGGCTTGCTCAAGTGCACCCTCGCTCAACGCGACTAACTCTTACAGCTACGCTATGTTCCATCCTCTTGCATACCTGGTCAAGCTCAACATAGAAATGTCCATGGCTCACCTCATCAAGACCATAGCCCTAGGCAGCCCGAACCCTGGTAATGACCCTTCACGACTCTTGACTTTCTCGTCTTCGCCCGGTGAAGACATGTTCAATGCCGATATGTTTGCGGAAGTACCACAGCAACGACGTTCGCTCATTCGCGGTTTGTTCGGCAGCGACCATATCTCGTTCTCGCAAGAAGATGTCCGCATGAGAAAACCGGGAGATTCCTCTACTGGTAGCACATCCGTGCCTGATTACGAATTGCCGTCTTGGAAACCTAGGGCGGAGAAGGAGCCTGATATGATTGGCAGCGATAATCTCAGCTCTGAAGCGAAGAACAACACGAGAACCCACCAAGAGAACTGTCGTCAGGAGAGCACGGTGCCGAGCAGGACCAGAAGTTTGGATGGAGGACCAAATGTCCCCATGCCGGCGGCAGTACATCTTCCTCCTCGAGCAAACATATCGGAAGTTGGTTGAACAATTCTTGCGAATCGCTACATTCATCACCTAGCAACTACTTAGACAAGGGGTACGATCCTCCTGACGCTAGTGCTACGTCTTGTTGCCGACTACGAATCGCACCGAGCCCGCTCAACGCAATCCGGGACCATTGGCCTACCAGAGGGACGCGTGATGGGACCAGTGACGCTGCTTGTTTTGAAGCAAATAGCATCGCCTCAGCAGATCGCCATTACATACGCCCCTTGATCGTCATGTAAGAGGTACGAGGCTGCATGCAGGCTTCTCATGTCACACAGCGTCTTCGTGTCGCTTGAGCACACGATGGTTATCCCCAAGGGCTTAAGGAAGTGGCGCATACACTGATCAATCCTCCGCACGAGTTTGCAGATGCGAGAGTAATGCGCACAAGTACCGCAGATCAGACTTATTGCTGACTGAACGACACACTGTTCGGGCCAGGGCTGATCCGATAGTATTGGGGGTTGCTTCTACGACATTACCACACAAAACGTGTCACGGGCGGCTGCTTGCCCGTGTGCGCTTGGGAATATTTCACACAAACTATTGGGATGAAGTGCAACAACGCATATGTGCCGCAATACCCCTGATCTAAACTGTTCTTTCGTTTGGCCGCCAATCAAGCATAGAATTATTGGTCAGACTCGCTCGTACAAGCGCTATGGGTACTTACGGCTGTGAAACAAACATGCCGCGAGAGGAAACATGCGCGTGGTATACCTAGCCGATAACCGAAGACTATTGAATGAAAGAGATTGTCTTCCCGCTTGGTACTCTGTGTGACGATGTTGCCTGGTAAGAGATACGCGGCACATAGGTATCACGAGAGGACGAATCAAATGATTGTTTGATATCCCAACATAAGAACCAGCATCACCCCACCGTGCCGGCTGCTGATACTTCCTCATACGCACCTAAACCCACCTGAACGTAGGACTTAGCAATCGAGCAACTCTGTCAAGGTTCCATACATCAAACCCACCGAATCGCAACATGAAGTACCATCTGTCTTTCGTCGCTTTCATGGCCATCGGCCTTGCCGCCGCACAAGGCATTCGGGGCGAAGTTCGCATTGAGAAGAAAAGATCGGAGTCAGATCTATGTATGTACACCCCTTCCCTCCAATCATTTCAATCCCCAAAACTAACAACCTTAGATTCCGTTCCCGTCCCCGACTCAGTGCACGTAGAGTCCTACCCTGCGATCCCACCGCCTGTAGAGCCTACCGACATCAGCTCCGACATCAGCTCCGACGACTCGTGCTCCACGGCCCTCACCACCATCACGACTACGCGTACCGTCTCAGTCATCACGCAAATCCCTTCCAGCCTCGCTAGTGTCACCGGTACTGTCGATCTGAGCTCCTCCATGCCTTCTCAGTCAGCACCTTTGACGAGCGAGACTGGCGGCATAGAACTCACTACTTGGCTTGCGCCCCAGCCACCGAGCGGTACGGCAACAGATTTCGTGCCCGCCCCGAGCAGTGCTGCGCCTCCGTATGCTCCTGCTCCTACTGCTAGTGATACAACGACTGCGACTGTTATTATTGAACCGACCCCGTCCACGTCGAGTGCTTCGGAGCTGCCGGGGGTTACGGATGCTGCTGGGACGGTCGGGGTGCCGGTGGTTGTTGTCGGGGTTCTTGGGTGGGCTGCTTTGGTGCTGTAGGAAGGGAGGGTTCGTGGTCACTTGGTTTTGGGAGGGGGGGAGTAGATAGTAATGTTTTACGCAAATGTAGAATCCATCCTTATGAAGAGACTGATCGAAGGAGTGTGTTTACAATGCTATACTAGATATCTGTCATCTGATCAACCTCCCCGTCATGCCGTGTTCTACTTGGAGCCATAGTGCATGCTGTCCAAGTGGCGAGAGATGCGTTTCATGTGCTACGCGATATGAGGGACGATCTCTCACCCTCTTATCACCTACAAAATAACTCTGGTACCGGCTCTATCGGACCACTTTATCCTTGCCAATTGGGGTCCTCAGCCTGAAGGGCACGAGCAATAGCCTCATCGTCAGCCTCCTCAGGGTTGATGCCAATGCGTGCCTCTTCGCCAGTGAGAGCAATGGAGCCCTGTTGTCTACCAGTCATGCAGCAAGAGTAGAACAAGCTAGCCCACAGGAAGACCCTAAGTACGCACTCTGATCAGTACAATCCCTTGTGGTATCGGAAAGTGATGACCTACCAGTTGAAGAAGTTCAACCAAAGCAACAGTCCCTGCCATGTGTTGATCTTGACTCCACTGATCCACAATCCACGCTCTCCGGCAAAGTGCGCGTCTCCCTTTGCTGGTGTACTGGCGACATGTCCAATGAACCCTATGATTGACATGCCAATCGCAGCCGCCATTTTGAAACACTGGTATTTGATGTACCTCTGCTTGGAGAGGGTACCAGCGACGGCGCGCCTCTGTTCTCGGCGGACGAGGTAGACGGTAGTGATGGAGGTCAGGAGGGGCGTGTAGAGGAGGCTCAACGTGAACAGCTTGCGCTCCGATGGGATTACGAGGGTGAAGAAGGCGGCGACCACGGCGAGGACTGCAATGCCCATTTGGCAGTTCTGGATGATGCGCAAGCGGGGAGAAGCATCGCGAGGGAGGGCGGAGAAGGGCCCGAAGCTCGTGGGTAGGTTCATGGACGGCATCTTGGTAGAAGATACGCCGTTACTTTCGTGGTAGCAAGAAATGAGAGGAAGCAGATGTAAGCACACGATGCGGGCGTCGCAGCGTTCTTTATCGTGGGGCTGGCAGCTTCACCGGTTGCGCCTCAGGAACAACGGGAAGCATACCCCTGCCAGCCACAGACCTCAGAATCCCAAATTTGGCATCTTTCTATACTCAAATTCGCGCGCCCTGGTGGGGAGGTGGTGCGCGATTGGGCCGGGTGCCTGGAACTAGGGCGCGCGATACCGCAAGCGTGTCGCGTAGTTTAGGCGGCCAGCCTGGCGTAGGCGGACGTCGTGTCAAGCTGTCAGCACGCGATCTGGTTTTTGGCGAGCGAGGCTAGGAGCGTGTAGGTGTTGATGTATCGAATATGTAGCCCGGCGGCTGTCAAGATGGTGGTGAGAGATGCAAGCCACTCGCTGTTTGGAAACTGGGTATGTTCTGGGCCGTCAGCACTGCGGTCAAACTCGAATACTGCAATGAAGGTGTCAGCCGGTTGTGTGCTATCGCCATCACTCGAGGCGTTGAACTGGACATCGTCGTAAGACTTGCTCATCGTTCCTACTCTTGTAATGTCTGCGTTTACTTTTGCAATCAGAGTATGCGTTGTTTCCGCTAACGCGCCATGCTCTTTGCGCCTGAGGCAGTCATCAATACGAGAGATTGGATCATCGGTAGCATTAGCGACCTCAAACACCAGCATCAAAAGCCACCCGTTGTCGCTGGTCGCATGATCAGGTTTCGAGATCGATGAGGGATTCGACCAGATCCTCTCGCACGCGAAGCGGCTCATCTGCGCCAGACATGGCATGAACTGAACAGTCCTCTTCGTCGGGTGGTTGAGCGCATACAGGTACTCGGTAGACGCGAGATCTTGGACGCGTGAAGTCTCGTACAAGGCTAGATAGTTGTCCAGGCCATCGCTGGGTTTCTGTGTGCGGTAACGGCGCGCGCGTTGAAAGCCCGGGAGGCATACACGCTCGGGCAGGTGCTCGTTGGTCCACCAATCGTTCAGTGCATCTGGATCGACTGTGGCAGAGTCAACAGATCCCCATAGGATGAGGATACCGTTAGTCGTTTGCGACACGGTTGAGGGAGATGCCATCTCATGCTAAGGCGAGTTGGGCGGTGCGGGGTTCACGACGCTGGCCAGCCTTGGGTTGCTGATTTTACAACTAGCCGCAATTTCAGTTTGATACGAATTGTGCGTATGTCGCAAGATGGCTCAGAAGACTCATAGGGATTACTTTGCCCAGGCTGGTGTTATTGCACGCGCGCAGTGCTGCTCTTATCGGACCTTATGGTGATTTGCCAAGTGGGGCAGCTGCCGGTTGTTCCTGCAGTTCTCCTCACAACGATCATCCCACGTCTCTCCCTTCCACCAACCTGCCCTTGTCCAACATACCCAAGGGGGTGACAAAACGCTCTTCACCATGCGACAAAGTCTGGAAAAGCCGATGATCGGCAACCCGCACGTTTGTCCGAAGGTCGCGGCCTGAAACTGGCATCCCCCAAGCCTCGGCCGGAGAGAATAACGTCTCAGTTTCTGCCGGTGCCGTGAAATTCTCGAAGGCTATGCGCTTCGCCACGGCGCGGCGCATCGCCAGATGACCTGCTCCTCGAATCGTGCAGCAGCTTTTACGGCCGAGGAGAATTACAATCTCGCTCACTTGCATCCGAAAATCGATAACGCTCGCGCCAAAGGGATCGCTGCCTCCTAAGCGTACATAGAATCGGTAGAAGACTCTAACTTTACAAACAAACAGGAACGAACAATCCCTTGCTCTGGATCCGCGATCTTCGCGCGTAGGAACCGGTGAACAACATCTGGGAACCATGTCAAGCTCTTGTCAAATTCATCTACCGGCACTATGAGCATGACAACGCATCCTATGCCTGCTAGGTTTGCAAAATTAATTGGCTGGATAGCTCCGCTGGATGGCATTGTCTAATTTCCCACGAGATAACCCACACGGCTAACGCAGATCGACACTAGCATTCAGCCTGTCTGCGGCAACTAGCCGAACAAGCCTTGTTACCAAGGTCAGGGGAAAATATTAAGTAGCAATGCGCCTCCTCGTACAGGCGCCTGCACGCCGTCAAGCCTCAGCTCCTCGTATCGTCAGTCGTTTTTGCGACCACACACTCATTTATACCCAATCCAGTCATTCTTTGTACTTGCGCAACTCCGACCGTTATACCCTAATCTAATCCTCGTTTTTTTTACGAGACCCACCAAACCCACCATGCGTCAATCCATTGCTATCCTCTCCATCCTGGCAAGCGCGGCTTGTGCTGAAGACGTCGTCAGCTTCTTTTTCCCTGGTGGTACGTCACTCTAGTCCGAGGAACACTGCAGATCAAAGTCTAACAAGCGCAGGCTACGACGGCATCGACCCTGTCGCAACCATCAACACCGCCAACCCCTCCACTACCGAGTTCCACATCGCATGCCCCACGGGCGTCGACGATAGCGAGTGCGGCTGGGGCCCAGGCCTCGATGTCACCATCCTCTCGCAAACGCGCTTCCAAGCCCAAATGTCCACCGACACGATATCCATGAGCCTCGGATGCGACTACAACGAGAAGGCAGTCGAGATGACTTGCACGGTGAACCAGCTTGGTGGCAATGACGATACGGGCGGCAAACCCATCACTGCGACACTCTCCAGCGATGACGTGCAGTTCCTTTCTGCAACCGTCGTTGCTGGAAACAGCCTCTTGACTCCTGCTGCAAGTGCCGCGACCAGCATGACCGCCTCAGCGCAAGCTGGCAGCACTGTTGCTACTACTATGAGGAGCGCTAGCACGGGCGCGATGACACCCAGTGGATCTATCATGCCGACTAGCACCATGGCCTCTTCGGCTTCTACACCTGCTGCCAGTGGATCTGAATCGGCGTCGGCGTCTCTGCCTGAGAGCACCGGTGCCGCTCCCAAGTATGGCATTGAGGGCTCTGCGCTACTGGCCCTTGCTGGTGCTGCTGTGCTGAACTTCTGGTGAAAGCGCCAGTGAGTAGTTGGTAGATGATAAATAAACGTTAACGAAGACCGTCATTGGCAACAAAGACGCGATTTATCAATTTGTCAGAACCCAACCGCGACCGATGTGTCAATTTGTGGCTTACTAATTACGATCTTCAAGCCATCCCATTACCTCTAATCATCGAGTTGAAAGTTTTTGTTTGTTGATAGACGACCAGTACTCACCGGGGGACAGCCCGGCTCACACCGCCACACAGTCCACACGTCCTGCCCAGTCACAGCATCCCTAGTCCGAATATTTTCTAGCACGACCGTAGCAGGCACAGGCCCTTCGATGAACCGATGCAGCTCAACAACACGCAACCTATCGAGGCGATAACCCAAAGCACAACCGCAAATCTTCTCCGCAAACTTGAAAGCCAACGCGTCAGCTGGCTGAAAGACTACGCGTTCCATCGTGTGGGGGGGTCTTTTCCTAGTAAGCAAGTACGCTGAGGAGTTGAAACGAAGCGTGTGTAGATTTTTGAGCCTTCTACACAAGTACCTGAGCTTCTTTCCATTCTTACGTTGTGACCTTCCTAGTGGATCGACATTATCGTTGCATTCCCAGAGGATAGTCAGGTTTATGATGGGCGCGATGTCTCCCTCGAGGAAGTTTACGAACGGGTGCCGCCCGTTGTAGTCCAGGGTCAGATGTGTGAGACTGCTGATGTTGATACATAACCAATCAAGGTTGGTAGACAAAGTCAGACTTTTTATATTCGTCATGCTTAGACCTTGACTCAGCCAACAAATGCCAGTTTCTTCCTCTCGCCTGAGAAACCAGCCAAGATTGCCATACACGTTGTTGGAACTGGGTGCTGCTTTGGCGTAGATCTCGACGGCGCGCAGTTGAGGCAAAGACGCTAATATCAAACTAGCGACCATGAGTTCGCTCGGGCAGGAGAGGCTCTGTATCCATCGTGCGTGACCTGCGCCGGATCGCTGGGAGCCATCCGGGAGAGTGTAGATAATGTTGGCCATCTTTGCTGCTAAACTGCCTGGGACATGGTCCGACGACTCGCTCAGGTATTGTAACGGCCGTATAGGCACACCTTTCCATAACCATGTCGCTAGACTGCACACATTTTTCACTAGATCGGGGCGCTCGATAATTGTACGCAAGAAATGCAGAATCGGTGATGCATAAAAGCCGTCGTACGACGGTTCGCGGTCTTGTAATTGGCGCGGTAGCGATACATTTTTGAACAAGAATTCTTGCGCTATGGGTGCAAGCCGCTTGCATGTCAATGCTAGATTCACTAGTGGTTGCGTGCTTTCTCTATGTTTCTGCCGTGTCTCTGCGGCACTCTGAGGAAGTGTAGCTGTCGGCGGATCTTTGGGATGAAGAGGAAGCCAAGTGGGCGAGCCATAGCCAGCGTCTTTGTCGATTTTCACGTCGGGCTGTAGGTAGCTGGCAATCTGGAGGAAGAGCTCGTTGGGTAGGTCGAGAAGCGAGGGTTTGCTAGTCATAGACATGCTGGTTTCGGATGCCTAGATATGGTGATCAGGATTCCTTGAGCTTGAGACGTGAACGAGGCATGAACGAATTATAAGCGGTCTATAGAGATCGTACATATGAAGGTCATAGTACGAAAAAAGAGGTGTTCATGATTCACAGCGCCAATTACACCCAAACACTGTTCAAGATCGTTCTTTTGCACCCGTACTTCATGACGAACTATATGAATCTCATTCTCGCACTGTAAGAGTCAACATTCTAATTCAGTCGCCTACTCTTGCTTCGTGCTTCTTCCAGAAACTATGCACTTTGGATATTTCCTCTTGCCCGCGCATTCGCAGTTAGGACGACGAGCGTCGCCACAGTCAGGTATGCAAAGATGTCTAGAAACCCGAAGGTCATGATGACGCTAAACCCCAACACAGCATACACCAGCCGTCCGTACACTAGGAATTTCAACATATTCCTACTGGACCTTGGAAAATGTGTTTCGTATGTCAAACGAGTAAACGCAAAGCCTGCAATGATAAAGAAAACGGCAGGTGCGACATCCTCGCCAGAATGCGCGCCAGAACGCGAGCGGTCATAGATTGCATGTCCAGTTGTAATATCGCATAACAGTCTCAATTCAGGGAAGCGTTCCATGAAACCGTACGAGTATGTGCCATACGCAACGTGCAAAGCTGGATCGTGGATAGCGACGTACGATGGAGGTGGATTCCCGAATCGCTGATAAGCCAGGCAGAAGACCGCGATGGGAGCGACGATAGCGAATATGGGAAGGGTGATGAATAGAAAAGCGCGCGAGGCTTCGTCGTGCGCGATAATGATGAATACGTCGAACCATGTCAGTACCTCGCCGTTGTACATTTTGATCTCGCTGCTTGATGCATCCATGTCTTCGACGCCGAACGGGGTCCATCCGAGTTTGCGGTCGTGCCACTGGAACCAGGGTGTTCGACATACTCTGCCTAGAAAAGCAGTGAATCTCGTGCGAGGGAATAGTGGAAGGAGCTTCTGGCGACACAAGAGGCATTGTTCTACATCGTTGGTGGCGCGTCGGTAGGTCTCGAAACAGTGTTGGCCAACAATGTGGCCGCATGGTAACCTTATGGGTAGACATTCGGGTCTTGAGTCACTTCCCTCTTCGTCGTCCTCTTCTTGGCTAAAGTACGTGCGCAGGCATATCCAGCAGTCTTGTTCGATAAGATCCGCTGGATCGACGTAAGTAAACTGGTAAGCATATCGTGTACTGAACAGAACATGAGAGAGTGACTTTTCCAGAGTGCTCATTGTGGAGAGTAAGATACCTGAGAGTGGTAGAGTATGGGAACCGCAACGAAAATGATAACCAGTTTACCGATATTGACTGACATATTGACGGAGCCGATCTTCACACGTTTGAGCATATTGAAGATATGGTCTACACGAACTTCCGTTCGATCGGAACCAGTGCTGTAGAGTGGTGATTCAATTGTGGTAGTCGAAGGTAGCAAGTCATGGAAGGTGTATATCCTTGGAATTCGATCGTCGACTAGTATTATATGGGGATATTGACGCCAGGGTACACTGTTGACGCGAGTGCAGCTTCGTTAGGCGCTCCCAAGTCCTCCAGATCCGGTGAAGGAGCGGTAAATGGCTTGAAATGTGCGCTCATATGAGGTGTATCGTAGCCCACTGATGTTGCAGTCGAGGTAGAGTCAGTGTTATGATCCCGGCGAAGGACGAGTGCAAGGATGGAATTAAAAGGGTCCGTTGACCGCAATTCGTGCACGTGGCCTGAGACGGTACAACTCGGGCGAGAGGTCCGTAGAGGTTAGCAAGTTCCACAGTGAATCGCGTTACGATTGTGCAACTGCCAAGAGCCCTTTCCTCTCTCACCACCAGAAGCCTACCCGATGCAGTTAGCGTGGCTCGAGCGTGGCTCAAGGCCACAAGCAACATTGAACAATCCAGCCTTTTCCACTCACAATCAAAACCAACAGATCTGTACTTCCGGAATAGATTCAACTCACAACCCGCCGCCATGTCGCAATCCACGACCGCGATACTGCGACTTCCCGATGAGCTCCTGGTCAGCATCACTGGCGGAGTCGAAACCGTAGACCTCCACGCTCTGTCGCTCACTTGTCGTCGTATGCGTCCAATAGCACAAGAAGGTCTTATCAAACGAGCGACTGTCGGGCCGGCAAACCTGTGGAAGCTGAACGCGATGTTGCGAATTCACCCAGATCTGGTCACGTCCTTCACCCATCTTCGTCTCGGACCAATGACGATGGACGTAGCGCGTGATTCATACCGAAAAGACTTCACCGCATGGAAAATCAGCAGGGGTTGCTATGAGCATAGCACGACAGACGCGGAAAGATCGACAGTATGCTTTTTCGAGAGCATGACCGTTCTCTTTACTCTTGCGCAAAGTCTGAAGGCTACATCCTTCAATGGGATGTCCGGCACCATCTTCGATGATGTCAAAGACACATATCATCAGTTCGTCCGTCCCAACAAGCCTGCAACCATATCAACGCATCAACCAATCCGACAAGCGAGATCGGAGCTTCAAGCGCGACTCGAGGAGATCAATGTCGAAGTTAGTCTTGTCAGTGAATATCTGCACAACGGTCTGATCATGGGCCTGGACCCGGTAGACTTTTCAAGTCTCAAGCGGCTGGTGATCCCATACCAATACCTATTCGACAAGCTATGCATCCACGACAGGGTTACATTCGGACATCGCATTCGTGATCCAGCAACGGCTGAGCTTCGCCATGTACTCCCTTCATCCCTCGAGTCTCTCCGTACGAGCATTAGCCATGAAAATTTATGGCCAGGCACACAGTGGCTCGACAATCTGATAGCTGATGATGTCAACTTTCCAAGATTGCGCGAAGTCCAGCTGCTGTATCCGTATAACATCGTCTCCATGGGCTGGCATTATAGATCCATTCCCTATTCCAACAACAAGGAGTTCCCGGCTGCGCTTCGGAGATGGCGGGCATCGCGTGTTGACCTGACCACCGCGTTTGGCACTACTAAATTCCGCGAGATACGATGGGAGGAACCGAGCGGTAACCTGACTACCGCCTTGGCGACCAGGAAACTTTACGCGGACGCGAGACAGCCAGAAAGGCATTATAGCACCGGTGATCTCATTCCTGTCATCGAGAAGTGTCTGGCCACTACACATGATCAGTTGGAGAAGGAACCTGAGATGATGGCAGCACTTGGCTATGTACTAAGGTCTCCTTGATGCCGCCGTCTTCGACAGTTCCACGGAGCTCTCTACAATATGAATTGTACAAGCGCTGCAGTGGTTGGAAAGGGGTTATTGAGGCGATTCAAAAAGGAATGACGACTTGAGTGTGTGAAAAGCGGTGGCGGCGGACACGCAAGGGCGGCTGTAGTCAATCGAGCTGCGCTGGACTCAAATAGCTGACAGTTTGAAGAGAATACAAAAGTGAATGGAAAATGGTCATGGGTATTCACAGTTATTTTGCAGTGGTGCAGTGCCAGGCGTCGTGTCGGTGTTGTGAAGAAGCGATGGGTTGCTCACCCCCGTCTGCTGTTGCGCACGCGCCCTGACATCATTACCGGTCCCACTCGCTCCGTCCTTCCTGCCTCCCTCTCGCCATCTTGCCTCCTGTGGCCCCCACGATATCAAAATCCAGACCCTCTGGCCATTCCAGACGCCTGCCCCCGATACCCGCGCAGACGATCCCACGAAGCCTACTCCAGCTGCCAGCTTCACGTATGACGACATGTTCGCGATGCTGCGCAGGGGGCTGTGTGGCCGCACGCGCTTGAGCTGAGGCGCACCCCTTCACGGCCACGAGACGCGACAGGGGCTCAGCAGCGCAATTGTCGCTCTGATGATCTAGATTCCCGTGCGACGCATTCGATATGACGTCGGTCGAAGCTCTGGATATACCAAAATGTCGGACAGAGCTGCCGTGCTCTAACGGGCTCCTATACCATAGGGCTGCAGACGGGTCCAGACCGCCATTATCGTGACCGCAGGACCTGGGTATGATGTCGTTGTGGTGTGGCTACGGTCGATCAGGCTCACTTGTGCGCAAGGCATCTACTCTACGGTGTGCTTGTCGTGCCAGAGAGGGTAAGATGAGGGAGGTGGAGAGTTTATGATCTCGATGGGAGAGATCTGGACCCTTTAGACCATGCTACGTCGTTGAAGACTGCGTTGGGTATACTGCGCGTTGCGCTGACGTCCAGTATACAAAGGTAAGCGTTGTACACTGACATGGCGGATGCTATCACTATCAGATACATCACATTCAAACTCTCACTACGCAATCAGCACTTTACAAGTCTTCTCACTTCCACATGCGCGAACCAAGACACACGTCGTCCAAATCGATCGAATCGAACAAGCAAATCCCCCCTAGCCTACCTCCGAACGCCGACCTCAGTATCACAATGACACTTGAGAGTAAACCCCAGCGCTGTACGAAGAAGCATCGCGCGATCAAGCGGCCTGACGGTATCATTGTCGAGCATCCCCGGTATCGACCAGCAGGCACACCGCAGAAGCCCACAAGGAGTCCCGAACGGAACTTGATCTCATTAGATCACGTCGATACACAACGAAAGCACATACAAAGAGCAGGTCCGAACAGTATGGAGCACGACCTCATGGGTATACGCACGGGCATGGACATGGACATCTCTGTTCGCGCCGTGCCCGTCGATGCTATGGGCAGTGACAGCTACACTAGACTGGGGAGAGGGAGGGGAGGATACAATGAGGTTGCGCGCGAGCTCACACCTGTTCATGTCATGGCAAACGGGTGCAAACAGCAGTCATATGCCGGCTTTAATCCTATGGCTCGCTTCCTTAGCGAGCGAGGGCCCTGGAGTCCTCACTCTTCTCGAGAAGATACAGCAAAAGACCATGGATCCTACTCGGCTGCGGCTTCCTCAGTGCCAGGATCAAAAAGGAAGGTGCTGTGGTGACTATCGGATCCACCTTCTCGGGCTCACGTCTACGCAAGCCATTGCAGACGAGGTATATTATCCGGTGGCCGTGTGCTTGGTGTGTCTCGTTTAGACACTCACAGTCGGAACCCGAGTGCCGAACCGATGGCCGATGGTTGTCTGAATTGTGGTTGCGATGCCGAGGATTACGACTGCAGGACGGGCCGGGGAATGGATGGAGCAGCGGCAAGCGATCACACATGTGCATCTTTCCAGACAAACGCCCGTAGTAATACGAGCGAGCATGCTGATTGTGTCGCCACCGAGTATATCGGCCAATTCGTAGCCCTGTTACTGTTTCACTCTAACACTTGCTTGATCTTGCCATGCGCAGCGTCACTACCACGCTTGCCGCAGCACCGATGAGCTATGATCCATGATGCGCCAGGCGTCGCCAATCCTGCAGCAGTACCTTTCTGGAATGCAGGCTCCACATAAGAGCTGTGGCGCGCTCGTTTTGCGACTGCATTCATTATCTATATCAGGGTTGCCCTCAACCCCTTCTCAGCGCGGCGAAACCCGAGAAGGCCATAAAACCCTGCGCTACTCACTGCAGTCACCAGTCCTATTTCTCCAGCAAGATGGCGGTACTTGATGTCCTCCAGCGGTTTTCAGATATCAACCCCCTCTTCTTCGCGATAGTCGGGCTAGCCTTGACAGCATACGCTATTGGCGCACTGTCCTACTCGCATCGCGTCCCTAAGAATGCGCCACCTCAAGTCAAAGACGATCTTCCAGTCGTCGGAGCTCTTGGTTTCTGGACCCGAAGATGGGAATGGTGGAGCGAGCGACGCGACCAGTCCAAGACGGGAACCTTCTCTTTCCATGCTGGGCCGAACATGATTGTTGCGCTTTCAGGAGATAAAGGGCGCCAGCTGTTCTTCGAGTCGAAAGATCTGGGCTTCACCGAAGGATATGCTGTGTTGTTCGGTAACTCGCCCAAAGTTTCCAGGACCATCACCGCCGAGGATAACAATCTCAGCTTCAGCGCCATGTTCCATCGCCGTCTTAATTTCTTCTTGAAGAACGACCAATTCCGTCGCAAGCTGCCTATCTTGATATCCGACACAAAGCAAGCTCTCGAAGCCATCAAGAATGAGCCCAGTGGCCGCACCAATCCCTTTGAGAGCCTGTACCGGATCGTCTTCCGTCTCACCATCCGCATGGTAGGCGCTACTGAGATTGCCGAAGACCCTCAGATGCTGGAGGAGGTTCTAAAGATGTTTGAGACGATTGAAAGCAGCTCTACCGCTACGTCAGTCTTGTTTCCGAAGCTCCCTTTACCGGCTCTCTTGAAACGGAACTGGGCAGGAGCGCAACTGTATATGATGATCGACAAAATCATCAAGAAGCGTGCGTCAAGCGACGAGAAGCACGATGATGCGCTGCAGTACTTGCTGGATCAGGGTGATCGCGCCGAGAGAGTCGCTCAGTTCGTCGTTGGAGCGTTGTTCGCCGGTCTACTCAACAGTGGTATAAATGTAGCCTGGGTAAGTAAATCCAAGCCTCCTTATACCTTGCACCGACAGAATATAAGCTAATGTCAACTAGGTAATGTCCTATCTCGCCACCTCACCCGAGTGGCTCGCCAGAGCGAACGACGAAGTCCGCAGTAATGCGGCGAGGTACGCTAAGAACCCGACCGCACCCTTGCTCCAGCAGCTCGACGACGTACCTATAGAGGCATGGGAGGGCGAGTTCCCAGTCATCGACATGTGCCTGCGAGACTCCCTACGTCTGAACCTGCTCGGCACGGCCTTCAGGCGGAACATCAGCGGCAAGAACATACCCACGGGCAACGGCGACGAAGTCATACCACCCGGCGCATTCGTTACATACGCCCCGGGCGACATACACTACGATCCAGAGATCTATCCCGACCCACAAAAGTGGGATCCGGCTCGATACATGCCAGATCGTGCGGAGGACAAGAAGAAGGCAGCACATGGCTTCCTTGGCTGGGGGTCAGGACGGCATCCGTGTTTGGGCATGCGCTTTGCGAAACTCGAGCAGAACATCATCACGGCGTACTTTATTGCTACTTTTGACTTCAAACTTGAAGATGAGAGTGGCAATGTGCTCAGTGTCGCCCCTTTGGTTGACCGCAATGGGCATTCGGCGCATAAGCCCAAGGAGCTGCAGTTCCTTAGGGTTACAACTAAGGAGACGTAGGTAGTATAAAGTCGGTAATTTGATGGATGAATGTGTTTTGGGAAGAGTACATCCCATCGCCGCTGTCGGTCTTGGGCATGTGAGTGCCGTCTTTTAGGGTGGAGGTGACATGACGCACCGCGATGCGACGCGATACTGCAATATCGAGCAAGGTTTGAAGCAACACGAAATGAACATCCTTATACCCACGCGTGCGCGTAGCTGTCGTTCCTTATCTTGGTAGGGTATGCGCGTCAATGGAAAGAGCATTGGAACGAGTCACCTGCTTGTATACTAGCGGCTTGGCGCGGACGTGTCACACCCTCCTTGCACCTCAGTCAACGAGCAGCCACGGTACACATGTTGCGCAATACACTTTCTTTGCCTTCGAGCTACGAAGTAAAGACATTCCTTCACAGTCTAGGGAGGTTGTTCAAGTAATACCCCACTACATTCACTCGATTACGTCACCCGATAACTGACCATATGCAGGTACCGCGGTAGCCGCCCTTGTGACTGACCCACAGTACTCACATGCACCCATGGATATTTGTCAGAATATCAATATACCAGCGCGATAATCTGTGCTTCAACTCAACCACCCAAACCACATCTCACCCTCTTCATACCGCGATGGCGCCGATGACGCCACTCAGCTCTAGTCCCAGGAAGCGACGCGTAGCGAGTCCCGCAAACGGAGTTAAGACACCACCTCTCTCGCGGGAAGCCGCGATACCAGAATTCAGCCCCGAAGACTCCCAAGATGGCGACCAGCACGATACATCTGCGCTGTTGGACGAAGTCGACACCCACCTTGTCCAAAACAACGGAATGCTCTGCCTTCCATCCGAACTCCTTGAAATGGTAGCTTCCAACATGCTCGGCACTACGCACATCTTTAATCTTGGACTGGTCAACAAACGTCTTGGAGAAATTGTTCAAGAGACCATCGTGCGAGAGCTGATCGTGTCGGGGAGGAACATCAAAGGCTTCTTGCGAATGCTTAGCTATCAGCCGAAACTCCTTAGCAAGGTACTCAGTATCAATCTTGGGGATTTCGGGTGCAGTCACCACGTAGGCTGTTTCTGCGCGAATGAAAACGGTCCCGACCTGGACATACTGGAAGGTCTTGGCGCAGCCATCTCTACGACTACTGGACATACCCCGGACTGGAGCCGGGTTTGGGAGAGCAACGCCTCAGTCGGCACCATATGGAGGAAGGAACCAGCGCTTTACCTTAATCTTCTCGCGATGTCGTGTCCCAACATCAAATCGGTGACTGTCCAGCTACCGGAAGTGAGGCCATTTTTCTCCAGCCAACCGCCACGTTCGCTTCAGCGGGCACCTCTAGTCTTTCCAGCTCTGAATCTTGAGATGCTACCCAGTGCTCCATTTCAAGGGCCAGCGTTACCACTGTTCCAGGCCAAGCTCGAAGCTCTCACAATCGCGGAGAACACCAGATGGAAAGGGCCGCCCACCATCGAGGTTCTTGAGTCGCACGATGCCAAATGGAGGAGTATGGGATCGCACATAATCACGCTGGCGGATTTCGCAAGATTGAAGCGGCTTGACATACCCATGGGCATTCTTGGGCGCCCGGACGACATAGTCTTCTCTTTTGCAGCCAAATCTGATGCAGCACGTGTCAATGATGCGCTTCCGGCTAAAAAGACTTTAGCAGAGGCACGCTCCAAAGTCATACCACTCACTATCCAACACCTTCGCCTGCGCTCGTGTAACAAATGGACATTTGCTCTTTTGCAAAGAATAAACGAAATTCCCGTGGGCGACCTGAGACTCAAGCACGTTGAGCTATGTTTCAACACGCCGTGTAAACAACTCATCATACTGTGCAACGCTTTCGATCTGGGTCGGCCGGATTACCTTGACCTACTTACAAGCCTCGGTCGCAAAGGCATCAAAGTGACCTTCCATAGTGGGTCCCAAGAGTTAACCGGCGACATGCGCCAAGAACTCGAGGCTTTTTATCGTTTACGGCCTCTGGAAATGTGGCGCTGTTCAGGGTCATCAGCGCCATTCACCGAGTGGGCTCCAGAAGCAAGCAGACAACCCCAACCGGCCTTTGGCGTCAGGGTGTTCTTACGTCACGCTGACCACCACTCGCAACTCCTGAACAGCCCCACATTTGATTTGAGGTTGTGGATACAGAGTGCATTCTTTCGTGGTATCAGGAGCAGCAAGTGGGATCCGCAGCTTCAAGAACCAAACAAGAAGCAAGCGACAATCGACTCTAGTGGATGGGCTGACAGGGCTCTGGGGAAGCGTGCGTTCAGGCGACGGCTTTCGCCATTACTGAGTGAGTTTGGTATTGGTGCGATACTGACATAAGACTAACGCGCGTGGCAGATCTGGACACTTTCCAGTTCACTCTCCGCTTCGAGCAGAGACTTGCGCCCCTTGCTAAAGAGACTCTATTCCTTGGTGCAAGCTTTACCAGCACGGAGAGTACGAACGCACAGTCTCCAGAACAATACAGAGACTCGACCAAGAAATCGTGTGGGAAAGAAGAGCAGACAAAGCGGTCCAAGAGAGCTGAGTTCACCGAGCCTGCATCATACATTACCGATAAGGCGCAGGGCTTGGACGAGGACATAGAACGCCTGCATTTAGAATCTGTCAGTATCCCCATGGCCGCCGAGTTCAGTGAGATACTGTGGGCTAGCGTTGCTTGGAAGATACTGCTGCAACCGAAGAAAAGGTTATGCTACAAGGACTGTTCATATTGTCTGGGTGGTACGTAATGATTAGATAAAGATGGACAGTATACGCCATGGGCTAGGTTTCTGAGCCGGCCTGTCTCTGCATATGTTCAGGGTGGATCATCGATCTGTGAAAGATTCTAGATAGTATTCGTAGTAGTCTGGGGAGAACAGTGGGCATGAGATGGGCCGAAGTCATCAGCTGCATCTGCTCGCTGCAAAGATCGGACGTGGAAGACACAAACACGTGACACAACCGTGCGCTTCTTCCAAACTTCCAAAATTCGGTCACCCCGCACTCGATGTGACCCAATCCATACGGTAGCGCAAGCTCATTCGTATATTCTGGCAGCTTGTTATCCGTCGATGATACCCTATCGCTGCCTGTGCGCCAGTCAACCACTCATCACCGCTGCCTAATTAGACATCTCAGCCTCGCGCCTACCCCACCATATTGCCGCCCGCGTGATCCTTGCTCCAGCCCGAATTTCTCTAGCTTGCCCATCATGTTCCGACCATCCGCGTTCTCACATTCACCTCGCACACCTAAGACCATCGGCGATCTTCCCGAAGAACTACTTCTCAACATCAGCGCACAGTTCACGGAGTTAAGTCGCAACCGGGATCTTGCAAGTCTCGCGCTCGTATCGAAGAGATGGCGGCCTGTCGCGCAAGAATGGCTACTCAAAGAACCAAGGTTCAATCTCGCATTCATCGATCGGTACATGTCAGAACTGGGCTACAGGTCGCACCTGCTCGGCCAGGTCAAGAGCTTGGAGATTTGGAGTAAGAGTGAAGGCAGGACAACCAGAACTCAACATACTACTCGTACTGGGGTACAAGTATATCTCACCCAACCCAAGTACAATGCGCTACCTGCTCCGGATTACATAAGGCAGGACGCTGAGTTTCTGGAAGCATGCGGGGTCATGATCAATCACTTCGCTACCAACAAGCGACATGCAAAGGATTGGCTAGAGGCCATCAGAGATGACATCGTCCCTGCATTATTCGCCGTCCTTATCTGTGCTCTACCCAATCTACGCGAGTTGAAGCTCGGCGATACATGGCTCATGGACTTTCCTCTCTTCGCGAGTACACGGTCTGCATCCGCTCGCGCAAGCTATACACTACCATACGAGTGGAAGCACAAGTTCTTGCTTGGAGCGCTGACAGCCAAGTTACCGCATTTGACCGTTCTTGAGATACCGAGCGACATGACAGCGATAAGGTACTCCCACAGCGTGACTACGGTCTTCGACCTCCGCCGCTTCGAGAGCCTGAGGGAAGTCGGTCTGACTATGAAGGCGATACAAGGCCATGGAATCATACGACAAGGACTGCCAATTACGGATCCGGCGGAGATCTTCCCGAAGACGCTGGAAGTCCTGCGCATCAGCGAGGCGACGCACATCACAGCCAACTTCCTAAATACGCTCTGTCTCGCTAAGAAAAAGCTCCACCTACCCAACCTCATGCGCATAGAAGCCTATCATATGGAACATTTAGACAACACCAGATTCAGCGCCGAACTGGACAACTGTCTAGATCCAATCGACGATGTACGAAAAATATGTCGCGACGCCGAGATTGCGGTGTATCTCTACTTCCCGCCGTGGACTATGTCGACGTGGGAGTCGAAGGGTGGTACGCCGTGGCGATTGAAGGCCGAGCCGGATGTGCTACATCGTGCGGAGTACGTGTGCTGGAAGAAAGCGATGGGACCTTTTGGCGTGCATCAGGATCCGATGGATAGGGTGGAGGTTGAGTGGGACGCTGATGGAGATGCGGTTATGATCTAGAGTGTTGTTGGATCGGTGTATATGGTGACGGATGATGCGTGGTATTGCGTAGCTACTCTTGTTGTTGCTCGCGGTCTTTGTGCTTGGAAAGGGTCATCTTGCAGTGGGGAACAAGCAGTCTCGCTCGCATGTAAAGAGGTGACGTAAAGTGATTCGATCTGAATAGAGTTCCAAATTGCCATGGCAATATTGTTGCGTGCAATAGCTGCGAAGTGGATTAGAAATGTCGCGTAACGCTGGCCCTTCCCCTATCTTTGTCTATGCCGAATCCGGTATGGCCTGCCCCAAATTGCGGCCCTGGAGGCCTAATGTCCCGCGGGGCCGAGTTCACAGCTCTGTGTCTGCCTGATTTGAGGACACACACACACACATTGGTTTGTCACGAGCAACGGAGGAAAGAATCGCACACCTATTAATGCGCTTGTTAAGTACTACTACTACTAGGTCTATTCTAGCCTGTTCTAACCTTAATATTTAAGTATATAGGCTATTCTTTTTC